TATATATGTATGTATGTTTTGCCAGGTTTAAAAATAGAGTGTATAACTTAAAAATTTGTAAATTTCAAAAAAAAAAAAAAGAATGCAAGAAATCATTTTATTTTATGAAGATTATACACCATGACCAAGTGAGATTCATCCACGGAATGCAAGGATGGCTCAGCATATTCAGGTCAATAAATGTAACACACCATACCAACAGTGCCAAAGACAAAAACCACATGAGCACCTTAATAGACACAGAAAAAGCATTTAACAAAGTCTATTCATGATTTTAAAAAACCTGCAGAATATTGGAATAGAAGGTCTTTTTCTCAATCTGATAAAAGCCATCTATGACAAACCAACAGCCAATATCATACTAAATGGATAAAAACTTAAAGCTCTCACTCTAAAATCAAGAACAAGACAAAGATTTCCACTAGTTCCACTTTTACTCAATATAGTGCTGCATACATTAGCCAGAGCAATTAGACAAAAAAGAGAAATAAAAGGAATAAAAATAGGAAAGGAAGACATTAAATTATTGTTATTTGTGGATGACATGATACTCTACATAGAAGACCCCAAAAACTCCATCAAAAGACTTCTTGATTTAATAACCAAATTCAGTAGGGTAGCTGGATACAAAGTCAGCACTCAAAAATAAATAACTTTCCTATACACAAATAAACTCATTGAGTGAGCAATTAGTGAAACAATGCCTTTCATAATAGCATCCCAAAAATTGTAAACAAGGAATCAATTTGACAAAGGAAGTAAAATGCATCTACATTGGAAACTACAGTAATCTAAAAATGGAAACAAAAGAGGATATCAGAAAATGGAAAAATACCCCTTGTTGTTGGTAGGAAATACTAATGTAGTGAAAACGGCCATACTTCCAAAATTGTTATACACATTTAATGCTATCTTGATCAAAATTCCAACAGCATATCTCACAGAATTAGAGAAAAGAATCCCCAAATTCAGTTGGAACCAGAAGAATAGCAAAAACCATCCTGGGTAACAAAGGCAAGGCAATTGGCAATAGGTATCACAATCCCTAACTTGAAATTGTAACAATGCTACGGTAACTAAATCAGCATGGTACAAACAAAAGTAAACAAACAAACAAACAACAACAACAACAAAAAAGAAGCCCCAGGGGTCAGTGTAATAGATTAGAAGATGCAAAAACAATCCAGACATACTTAGCCACCTTATCTTTGACAAAAAGGTAACCTTCACTGGAAGAAGGATAGCTTCTTTAATAGTGCTGATAAAACTGGCTTTCCACATGCTCAGAATCGAAACTGTATATTTTAAAGACCCATATATTTCACCATGCACTAAACTAAAATCAAAATGGATCAAAGATCTAAATATTGAAACAGAAACTCTAAATCTGCTGCAAGATAAAATAGAATTCTTGAAGACATTAGTATAGGCAAAGACTTTATGAACAAAAATCCTGGTTGCACAGGAAATATCACAAAGAATCAACAACTGAAATCTCAACTTATTAAAAAGCTTTTGCACAGCAAGAGAAACCACCAACAGAGTGATGAGACAACCCACAGTGTTGGAGAAAAATTTTGCCAATCAAAGGACTACTGTCTAGAATATATAAAAAACTCAAAAAAATCAGACACCTCCCCAAATTTAAAGACCTGCTCCAAAAATGGGTATCTGAAATAAGTAGAGATTCTCAGATGAAGAAGTACAAATGGCAAATAAATAAATGAAAATATGTTCAACATCACTGGTCATTTGTGATCTGCAAATTAAAACCATGTTGAGATTCCAGCTCACTCCATAAAGAATGGCAATTATCAAGAAATCACCAGTAACAAATGTTGAATGGGCTGTAGGGAAAAAGGAACCCTTCTCCACTCTTGGTAGGAGTATAAACTGGTACAACCACTGTGGATATCATTGTGGACATTCCTCAAAAAACTAAAACTAGAGGTCCCATTCCACCCAGATAGTACACTTCTTGGTATTTTCCTGAAAGAATTAAAAGCATCATAATACAATGATATATGCACACCCATGTTTATAGAGGTACAATTTTAATAGCTAAATCTTGGAAACAACCCAAAAGCCCATCAACCAATGAATGGATAAAGAAGATATGGAGTTTTTTAATACAATGGGATATTACTCTACCAAGCATCTCTGGCTATGACAAGCTCAGTTTCTCAGTTTCTACATATCTGTGCAACCAGAGATCTATCTCCAAAAAGGAATCCAGCTGCCTGTCTGGTCAACATTCCATTGGCCATTGGCTTCAGTGGGGGTTCATCAGAAGGTGCTGGGGAAACCTGTCCTCTGCTTTAAGAGTGGCAGCTGCTCTAAGAGCATTTAAGTAGCTAGCAGAGTGACCGGTGCTTGTTAAAGTTCTATATGGGACAGATAAAAATCCAAGCTGTCTAAAACCCTGGAAATCATTACATAGCTTTTTATAAATTTATGAGGCAGGTTCAAAGAGAGACAGCACTGTAATCAATCAATAGGATTACAAGTAGTCTCTTAGGTAATATTAATCCAATGGAAAATCACAGAATGCATGAGAGGTGGGACAAAAATATGGTCAATCAATAAAATTATAACAAGTATAGTATCTTGGGTAATATTGATTAAATGGGGATCCAATTGGAAAGCAAGTCACCTAGAAAGTGTACATGGGATGGACAAGGACTTTCCTGGAAGGGATGGGTTAAGGAGGCTTTGGTTTTCAGTCCTCCACCCTAAGGTGCTTGGTGTCTATTTAGAATATCAGTCACTGCTGTTTAGCCTCACGGGAAGTCTGTGGAGGTAGTCCTCCTCTTTTCTTAAAGCCTGGCCTACAGTAAATGCACCTCCAGCCACAGCTGTCTTCTACACTGAACTTTTGATGGCCCAGCCCCTTCTGACTGCCTATAATATTTCTAAATAACTTAGCAGTCTGTAATAAAGTTTTTGTAGATAAGGAAGGGAGAGGGGCTGAGGGGAGAGGAGGGCTATAGGAAAAAAAGAAGAAGCAAGATATACCAGGTACAGGTACGAATTCCCTATGATGAATGGTATCACCATGCATATCTAAAGTGTACCAATAAAATAAAAGTTTTAAAAATTAAAAAAAATGTAATATTTAGGTGTGTGATTTTTTTTTTTTTACTTTCTCCTTTATGCTTTGCTAGGTTTAAGGGTGTTTCTTTTTTTTTTTTTCCTTTCTTTAACAAAGCACACAGGGTTAGGTTTTCAAAGCAGAAGAAGAAATAAACAAAGGGAGAAAGAAGGCCTTTACTTTGGACATGGAGAGGAGAGGACTGCATGCAGTGCAGAGCTCCTCTGAGGTAGACAAAGGAGGATGGGGTTTATGAGGACTCTGGCTAGACGCTGAGCTTGAGGGGCGGGCCCAGTGACTCTTTAGGAGCTGATTGGGGCTTCCCTCGCTCACGTGGGAAGGGTAAGAGGAAGTTGTATTCAGGGCTGAGGGGAGAAGAAAGGGGGAAGTGGTCATCTGGAAGATAGGCTGTTGTTTTTGGGCTCCAGCCATGTTAGACCACCACCATAATGATTCAACAACTCATACTTGGGCAGGAATCTACCATATATTATGTTATGATAATCAGAATAATATTTTCCTTTTACATAAAGAAGGTGTAATCCCTCACCTCCCCATGGGAAGTTATTCAAAATGCACTGCTAGGCTCCCTGCTCTAGAAAACTCCTCCTGTCAGGTGCTTCTCTCCACAACAATATCAAATCTTACAGCCCAAGAATAATCTCCAGTCAAGGGAAACTGTAGGCCTCAGTGCTCACAAAGGCCAAACTGATCACAGCCCAGGAGAACAGTACATGTCAGACGTCAGGAGATGAACATCTTCTTCTCACAGTGCACCAGCATCACAGGTTGTACACCTCACTGCATGTCCACCGGCCTCATGAGTCCCTCCACAGCAGTCCATAGCAGCTTATTCCACCCGCAAGCAAAACAAACTGGAAACTGGGAACCTAGGCAAAGGGGCCAATGAAGTTGAATTTAAAATGCATTCTGTACTTTGACCTCCTGTGGACTTTGGAGTAAGGGTTGTTTCTCAGGTTTTGGTGAAAAGCGTGACCAAGTCAGTTGTCCTTTTACAAGATTCATGAGATCTATCCTTCCCCACCCCTTGCAACCTCTAGTTCCAATTGCCTTTGTCACTATCTTTCCTAAGCACTGCCGCACAAAACTCATTGGCTCACCTTTGTTAAGCAGTTGGCATCTTGGAAGAGAGTCCTCGTAGCAACTTGGATCTTAAAAACATGCCTTGAAACCAGGCGTAGTGGCACACACCTATAATCCCAGCACTCAGGAGGCTGAGGCAAGAGGATCTCCATGAACTCTAGGTCTGCTTAGACTACATAGAGAGTTCAGGGCCAAACTGACTACAAAGCGAGACCCTGTTACAAAAAAAAAAAAGGCTTGGGGTATGAAAAAATACAAATATTACATATTTCACATATTTAAATTAGAAATTAGAAAAGCCTTCACATTTACACATTTTACAATATATGTCAATACAAGGGTGTAAACACACTAAATGGTAGCCTATGGGGCTTAGAATTAGGCAGCAGGAGTGATGGGTGGGAATTTAAGAAAATAAAAATATCATAAAAATAAAGCACACCGACTCCTCAGCCTCTCAGCCCTTTCATCCACAGATGGCCAAGTCCTCTCCCAGGTGTCTAGAGCTCTCTTCGCCTCCCTGCTTGAATGCCTTCTTCCCCATTGTTCCCTCTTCTTTTCTTTAAGACCCCCAAACCAGTTTCTCCCTTCATTCATTTTATGCATATCATTCTCTGGTTCTTATTGGTTTCTCGCCCTTTAAACAAATCCTAATCTTTTTCACACACTCATTGCCGCTCCACCGCTGAGAGAAGCTGAACATGCTGAGGCCCTGATGGAATAAAGGCTAACAAATCCAGCCCAGGCGACCTTTGCTTTGCTGCAGGCCTTCCCTCCCACCCTCCCTCCTACCTGCTCCCTCCCCTCTCTCTGCGTCCTTTCCTCCCTCTCTTCTTTGCTAACTGATTACCTTCCCTTCTCTTCCTTTGCTCTCCATTTCTCTCCCTGCTTAAGGCCCTGTTGCGAGTAATGACAAGCTCTGGGGGTTGCCGGAGGTCACTGGCTGTCACCAGTCCAGAACTGCCTTTCTAGAACTACTTCCCTTCCTAATCTCAAAGTCCAGCCAGTCAGTGAGCACTTGGAGCCCATCCTGTCACGGATCTGCTTCCACAGGCGTTCACTGCCTACCTGAGAGAGATGGGCCTACTGCAGAGACAAGTGCGGAGCGCATGGTGCCTGGCAACCTCCACGCCCAGGACCCTCAAGATGTGTCCCTCTCTGAGCCGTGAGTGGAATCCAGGGTGACATGGGCCAGCAGAGGGTCAGCAAGAGGGGAAGGCCTAAACTCTGGAGCCTGTTGCCTGGGATTTGGGAATGTAAGACCATCAGATCAGGATGAGGCCTTAGAAATGGAGCGTGGAACAGTGATTGTTCCATGGTTGACACAGTGTCCCCATTTCACAGCCAATATTTTGTAAGGCCCCTTAAGTCTGAAATGAAATTCATGGATAATGAAGGCCAACTACTGTATCATGCAATGCCAAAGTTTAATCAATATGCTCTCTAGCTGTAATGTCAAGGAGAAATCAAAGGAAAATAATTCAAAAGTATTAAAATAGAGGATGACTGCTTAAAAAGATACAATGTATCCTCACAAATGTCCACCCTGCGACTAGGAGATGGAGCCACTCCCTCCATTACTGGCAAGGAGGCTCTGAGAAGAGCAGTGATTTTCCCGGCATCCTCCAAGCCAGCTCCAGACCTCAGGCTTCCCCTTGTGCTCAGGCTTCCGCCTCAGGAACAGAAAATGTGAGGAGACCTGGGGCTGCATGAATTATATCTTGTGTGTTGGAGATTTTCACGTGGAACTTGTTTCCCTGGAATTCCACCATCTTCTCTCAAATTTGCTTCCAGCAAACATGAATTTAAGCAGCTGTCTATCTCCATGTTTATGTGTCACAATGGGATCTGGTACCCACAAACTCTAAATAGGAAGAGGAGGACTTTGTCTGTTTCCCACCATGATCAATTTTGTCTTCATTTTTCTCATCTTTCCTTTTTCTGCCTCCTTCTTTTTTTCTCCTACTTGCCTCCCCACACTAACTATAATTTTATGAAACTTAATATGTGCCCGGTGCTATAAGCATGTTTCCTTTCATCCTTCAGAGACAGGAAACTAAAGAATAATTTTTAAATGTGGTCAAAGGCAGATACATAGAAGTGACAACCTGGAAATCAAAGCCAGATTTCTCTGATTCCAAACTCAGAAATTCTACGATGCCCTATTTGTCAATTTTCTCCCAGTCCTGCTAGGATTCTCTCAGTCATGAGGTTTTCTGTTTGTTTGTTTTGTTTTTGCCAGAATATCACTTAAATCCACTTTCTCTAAAGAAGTTAGGATTAGAGTCTTATGCTCAGAAAGGATCAGACGCTGCTGTAAGCAGCAGGCATTGAAAAAGCAAGGTTAAATGCTCTCTAATCAGCTCTTTGCCGCTCCCCTCCCAGCTCTGAGGGTGGTAGCGTTGGCTGATGGTGGCAGCAAGGGACTTCAAAATAGCGGTGAGGCTTTGCGCCAAGAGAGCTTGCCTGCTTTCAGTGGTTTCAATTTGTACTTTTATTTTATCATTGACATTAATTGTATATGCTCCTGGAAAATATAATTAGATAGATAGATATAGATATTGTAGTGGTCTATCAGGATAATCAGCATTTCTATCTTTTTATTATTTCTGTATGTTTAGAGCCTGTGAACTCCTCTCCTCCCATTCTTTATAAAATATACTCGGTTATGATAAAAACTTGTAACCTTACTATGACTAGAACACTAGAATTTATTCCTCCTGTCTGGCTATATTATGGTGCCCTTTGTCTAGTCTCACTCTATTCTCCTTCACCAGCACTTTCCCATCCTCTTGGAACATCATTATTCCACTCTTTTCTTTGATAACAACTTTTCAGCTTCCACATATGAGAAATAACATGAGGTATTTGTCTTTCTGTGTGTAGCTTATTTTTCTTAATGTCCTTCAGTTCCAATCATTCTGCTACAAATGACAGAACTTTACTATTTTTATAGCTGAAATATATATGTAGTTCTATTTATCATTTTATCTTCCAAAAAACACTTCTATTGATTCCATACCTTAGCTATGGTGATTATGACAGCTTGTGTCTAGATGTCCTCCAAAGCCTCATGCACTCTTAGGTGGGGCTTTTGGAGATGACTGGATCTACAGTGTGTGATGCTGGGTTTAGGTGTGTGATCAAGAGTGTGTGATTACTAAATTAGACTACTGATTGCTTTGGCATAGTTCTGGGAGCACATAATGGCAAGATCCTCCCTGGGTGTGTGATGGAGACCACTATGAAGCAGACCTGAGCAAGATTTAAATTAATCAATTGGCTTTTCATATTCTCTTGTGAACCTGTCCAAGGCCTAGCCTCCTTATCTGGAAATGGCGGACTCATAGTAAGTGAACCTCTGTGAGTCACTAATCCCAACTAAAACCTGTAGTGGTGGATGAAGCCAGAAAGCCTCAAAGGATAAGACCAGATCACAGCCAAGGACACATGGATCAGATCTCAATAGGATAAAGACTATAGCCTCACGGATCTCACTCTTGAGTGGATTAACTTAATACTTCATTTAGAGAAGTCCTTGAGCGGTTCCACCCTTCTTGAGTACTCTCCTCCCTTCTTCTGATAACCAAATAAATACAGGCCACCCAGAGTAGGTCTTGATCTTCTTGAATTCTGTGAGATGGCTTTGATCCTCCTGGAGCCCTGAAATCATGCCATTTGCCTCTTTTTATTTGGCCTTCACTGTACACTCATTCAGGAGCTTGAGGACCTGATCAGCCCACAATAACTAAGGGATATTATTAACCTGATAGATCTGAGTGCTACCTGTCTATAGTCTGGATAGAATGTAAGGGACCAAAAGAGGACTGCTGTGGTGCCTTGCTGTTTCTTCACTACTTCACTGCTTTGGTGCCTTCTGCTGTCATGAACTGTTTCTCCTTTGCAATGCCCCTCTGCCACATCACCTCGCCTTAGAGCCAGCCAACTGTAAACTGAAACTGCTACCAACTGTGAGCCAAATAAACCCTTCCTCCCTTAACTTTTGGTGTCAGGTATTTTGTCTCAGCAATGTGAAAAGTAACTGAGACAGTGGTATTAGGGCCGCAATGTATATGAGAGTACAGGTATCTTTTGATATGCTGATTTTTAATATGTTGAAGTGGGAGAGCTGGATCTTATAGTAGTTCTATTTTTAGTGTTTTTAAGGAGTAGCCATGTTGTTCTCCACAATTACTGATGGGACTCAGGCACCTGGTATTATCCTTTTGTTCAGAGCACACACAGGGGAAGGGGGGTTGTTACACAGAGGTTGGATGATACAGTGTGAGCCAGAAGCTCCCACACAGAAGGAATAGATTAAAAAATCTCCTATAATCAGCCAATGATGGCTCCAAAACACAACAGTTTCAAGAGACCTCTGTGAAAGGACGAATCTCAAACTCTCAGTGCTGTGTATGAGGGGCTTTCACATGGCGAAGGCCTCATGTTCAGTGTTGCCTTAGATGCAAAGCAGATGAATGATAAAAGTCTTCCCTTTCTGATTTGTTGACTATCATAAGTATCAGATGGGCCACTGAACATGACAAGTGTATTTAAAGAATACTAAGATGCTGTACAGAAATAAGTCATAATTAGCATTTTAATAAATTATATCATGTGCATTGGGTGTTTTCAGGTATTTTCTAATTTTTTTTTACTTTAGAGCATGAGGAAGCCCTTGATAAATACTCCCGCTCTATTTAAAAGTGATCACAGATGTTGGAAAAAATTTTGTCATTTCAAAGAATTTCCCTGAGAATTTCCAAGATCCACAAAAATTGATTTCTCTCACTCATTTTGCCAGTTTTTCGCTTTTTTATATTATAATTTTTGTGAAAGAAAACAAAGCTACAGTGGTGTGTCTGCTGCAGAACTCTGTAAGAATTAGGCAGATGGAAAATTAAACCCAATTACCCACTTGGAATTTATTATACAGCAGTGGTATTGTTCTTTTAATTGAATTCCATTTTAATCTCTTGAGTTTTCCATGTGAATTGAAGTGGAAATTGGTGAATTGGATGAAAAGCAGTAGTTGTCATTTGTGTTTAGTCTAAAAGGGCAATTATCAGATCAGTTAAAACAATAAAAAGAAATATAAAAATACCTATTCAGAAATACATCTGGAATTCAGCTTTATTAAACAAAATCTTACGTATCACTTCCCTTCCCCCGCCGAACACACATGCACACACATATGTATGAACACAAACAGTTTTCAAGAACCTAAGAAAAGTTTTACTACCCCTCACCTTTTGCATCATCCTCAAAACATAGTCTATTTTGAATAAAGAATACATACAATTATCTAGATATTTAGATTTCAATTTTTTCTGGCAAATAATGAAAGCTACATTATTTTTACTTCTTTTCATCCACTGATTACCTTTATTAATTCTATCATTTTTAACTGTTTACTGAGATGGGTGTTATGACAAGAAGAAGACGTTTCAAGTATTATTTTGATTTATTTCACTCACTGATCAATTGTATATTTCTGCTTGCTATCTGTCTCTATTCTTTTCTCTCTTCTGTCCTTTCTGCCTTTCTGCTTTTTTCCCTTTCTTCCTAAAGGCATGATTTTATGCATTACACTCAGGGTCTTTCCTCCTCCATCATCTGCTCATCTCTCTGTGGAAGGATGGATGGGTGGGTGGGTGGGTGGACAGATGAATGAAACCACCTTGGTATTTAAAATTTGGGGTTTTCTTTATCAGTGCTTTTTCTCCAACTCTCTTCTCTCTCCAGCCAACTCTCATAATCCCTGTAACCTTGAAGACAAGCGACCTTATAGCCTCCACCATGAGCAACTCCAATTATATAGACAGCAAAATGAGTCTGATGAAGCAAAGAGATTTTGAATTCTCAGAAATACTCGAATATTTTTTTCCATTTCAGAAGATTAACTAATGCAGAGAAGCACAATGAAAAGCTTTTCTAAAGGTGCAATTCTTAGAAAACTTCAGCTATCTTTTTTTTTCCACTTTTATACATGGGTACCCAAAATCACTTGCTTTTAAAATAAGATCAAATTAATGACATTAGCGATTATTTAGAGCTGAAAAGTGAATGGGATATCTGTGAAAGAGAATGTGTTTAGAGCTGTTACTTTCCAGCCTCATTTAAAAACACAATTGTTCACTGAGTTTCCTAGGACTATGACCTCATAGACACAAAAAAAACCTACATTTCACCCAGCATTCACTTTTTGCACTGAATAAGGGGCATCACTTCCTCAGCTCTTTCCACCTGTAAATGTATCTTGATGTTGACCTCAAATCTTTAAAATTAGGAGCACCCTTTTCCAAGGGTACTCATGACGGCTCTAGACACAGCTCTTCCAGTTCTGACATTTCTCATTCATTATCCCATCCCACCGCTGCAGAGAGATGAAGTCTGTGCTGGCAGAAAAGGTGAAGGCGGCCATGGATGATAAAACAGTACTAGGTTGGGAGTTAGAAATTTGAAGTTTCATTTCTGTTCTTCAGCTAACTAGCTTGGTAATCTTAAAGAAAATAGTTTACCATTTTAGTCTTATCTATAAAATGAGCATTTTGACCCTCCAGAAAATCTAAATTCTCTCCCAGTTCCAAGTATTTAATGCTTCCTATGGCTTGGCTTATCTCTCTGTCATAGTCTTGTGTTGGGAGGCTTGGCAGGGGAAGTGATCGTCCAGCTCTGTCTGGAGGTTTTTGTTAACATTGCTTCTTTTCATCCCCTACAAGAGCAGTCAAAGGCCACATAACTCCACGATTAACGGTCCACAGGCCAGGATTAGGCACAAGCCATCTCAGAGCCTAGAAAGCACCTTTATTAACAATGGATAGACTCCCACAACATACTGCATTGGCATATGTTTGCCAAATGAAGAGAGAATCAGTCAACACGGACTGGGGCAGTGTTGAGGGGCACTGCTGGACTGAGCTTCCCAACCTTGTAAGGAACTGTGGTGTGAAAACCACATCTGCCCCAGCAAGCATCTCCATGGCTTTTGGATTAGATTCAAGAAGAACTGCCTTTTCCACCTGTAAATGTATCCAAGAAATCTTAATTGAGATATCTCAGTTTTGAAATCCAAACTGAAGTTTGATTTAATTATTTTTTTTAACAAACTAAGAAACAAAAATGTCTAAGAACTTTAGTTAGGTAACTATAGGTGATTGTCACGAACGGACCTATGCTGTGTTTAAGGGACAATCAACTCATTTTACTTCCAGGAGGTGCTTCCCGGGCATCTGTAACCCAGCTTGGTCTTCACACAAAACCCAGAATGCCTCCATGTGACTTCTCACCTGAAAGGTACCAGGTAAGACTCAGGGCTTCAGGAAAATCCAAAGAAGTTTTTCCCCATAGGAAGTCTAGGTCAGTTATTGCTGCAAGAAATACAAACACCCCTGCTTGCCACAAGCTGTGCCATCCCAGATAACCTACCCTTTAAATCCTTGGGAGTTTCTGAAAACATTTCACACAATTTACTTTCAGTGTTTGAATTGATGTATATGTGTGGGAACACAAATATAAATATAAATATATATATTTATATTCATATTTATTTCAGGGATACAGATATGTGTGATGACACACATTTCCTTTTTTAAATGTCCCTCTTTTAACTAACTGATGTGGCAATACATAATCTGACCTTCTAGATTACTTCACTAAAATTTTTGCTGTCATACTAATAACGATTGTGTTTTTCTCTCATTCTTACACACATATACATACATACATACACACACACACACACACACCACCTTTACCTTTTACTCTACACAATACTCATAGATCTAAAATGATGGAAACAATAGTCAGGCAGAATCTACTAAGAAGAGAGAGATGAAAAAAAATTTTTAATAAAAAAACACCATCTAAACACTGCTGGAACTTCATTTCTTTTTTATGTTTAAAAATAGGAACAAAAATGTTACTTCCAAAGCCTCCCTCATTTTTAAAGTTAAAACCAATTCAAAGCCAAATCTTTCCACTGAGAGATAGAAATTCCAGCCCCTTTCTGTTTTTCTCTAGAAAAAAATCAAAAGACCACAAATAATAATTTTGCCTACTTAAGAAAAAATGATTCAGTAATTTATAGAAAGGATGGTAACTGGGCATGGTGGTGCAGCACTTAGGAGGCTGAGGCAGGAGGATCGCTGTGAGCTCAAGGCCAGCCTAGGGTACCTAGTGAGTTCAAGCCAGTCTGAACTACACAGTGAGCTCCTGTCTCAATAATTAAATAAGTAAGTAAATAAAATTAATTTCTTTTAAAAAAAGAACATTGGGCAAATATTCCCATTTGTGATCCTTTGTAGCCCTGGGCTCAGCTGACCAGGCATTGTTAAACTGACCTTCTGATGCTCCTGTCAGAACTGTGATGATAAGGAATAGAGATTTTAACTTTGTCTACCTGCAGTCCCTGGCCTACAACCACGTGCTGGAGATTCACAGGGAACATCTTTCTCCTGTGGCAACAGCATATTTCCAGAAGCCCCTGCTGCTCCACCAAGGACACATGGAGTGGCTGTTTGATTCCGAGGGAAACAGATACCTGGATTTCTTTTCTGGGATTGCCACTGTCAGTGTTGGTCACTGCCACCCGTGAGTATCCTTCTAACCCAGGGGTTTCATTCAGAAGAATATGGAAACAATCATGTGACTAATCCAGAACCTTATCTTAGTTAAAAAATACCTATCACAGGTTGTGGCTGACATACTCCCATACACACTCCTGGGGACCAAGTCTGGACACTGCACTTTGTTTTCTGACATTGCAAGCTCTACCCATTCTCACTGCACATGCAGAGTGGTGTGTACTTGTGCCTGGAGTGTTTCTCTGTGTTTCTCATGAGTAACCACTTCCAAGGAGAGCAACAAGGCAGAAAGGAAGGGAAATGCAGGGGTCTTTCAGAGAAACATGGAGAAAAGACTGTAGGATAAGGGATTGTTACGGTTTGTGTCTGCATGTCCCCGCAAATCCTCATGCAGTCATGGGGCAGACTTTTAGATTTATGATTGATTCGTGGTCCAGTGATGGAATTATGGACATGAGTGCTGCACCTGCCCTGGGGTGGGTAATTTGCATACAGTGTAAGGGAGGGAAACAGGCTGCTTGCCTGTCACTCCTCCCTTTTGCTCTTGCTGCTTTTTGCTGTCTTCCTCTGCTGTGAACGGTTGCCCTCTGCCATGTGCCACTCTGCCTTGGAGCCAGCCAAGTATGGACTGAAATCTCCACAAACTGTGAGCTAAATAAACTTTTCCTTCCTTAATATTGGGCATCAGCAATGAGAGAAAAGCAACCAAGACAGGGATGATGAAAAATGTGAAATAAGCTCTTCTGTGAGGATCTTCTTCATAGACTTTGAGAGATGGGTGAGGGGAAAAAAGGCTAATAAGAGACAGGTGCAATTTTAGCTGGGAATTTACTTGGAAATGTGTAGAACAATTAATCTTGAGACAGAACGCATAGTCATCAACTCACCCACACACATTTTCAGCCGGTTCTTCTATGACCCTCTGGGTTTCCATGTCACCCTCTCATTTTAATATCTGATCTATCTTGCCCTTAACAGTCTGGCCAATATAACTCACATCAAGTCAGAAGGAAAAGCAGTGAGTCTAAAATAAGTTGTAGAGGATTAGGTTCTCAAATCAAAGGAGGAGGCGAAAGATTTTCTCTTCTAGCAGGCGTCAGTGTTGAGAAATGAGCTGTCCCTCCAGACTCAGCCTCACCTTCTAAGCATTTCCTGCTCTTTCTCCTGTCTTCAGGAAGCATCACTCCCACACTAGGTCCCAAGAGGCACCCAAAACAATTTCAGATACACCTTAAAACGTAACACAAACATGCATAAAGAAGTAGAGAAAATGGAACAGAGAACAATTTTACTCACTTTCATTGAATCCTCCCAATAATGTTGGCCTTTTTGCTGATAGTTTACCATTTGTGTCTGTTATAGTTGATACATTGTGTCAACTTGGAGAATCTAGAGGTTTGGCTAAGTAACTTAGCAGGAAGCCAGAGTGCTTACTTTGTATACATCCTGAGCCTGTGGAAGAGGAGGTCATGGAGATTATGTGAGAGCTACACGCCCCTTAGGTGGGGGTAGCCTGTTTACAAAGTAAGGCAGGGAAAAAGAAGCTGCTTGCTGCCATTCCTCCTCCGTTTGCTCTGGCTGCTTTGCTGTTTGGCTGCCATTCCCCCCTTTGCTCTTGTTGCTTTGCTATCTTCTGCCTCGGAGACAGCCAAGCATGGACTGAAACCTCCACAAACTGTGAGCTAAATAAACCTTTCCTTCCTTCATTTTGGGCGTTGGGTATTTTGTCTCAGCAACAAGAGAAAAGTAACCAAGACAGTGTCCTTGGCTTTCGTGACCTTTGTGCTTCTCCTGATCTCCACCCCCTAATTGATGTCCCTGGCTCTGTTCTTAGCTCTCTGCTCTTTTTTCTTTACTTCTTTCATCTCTTGTTTCCCCACCATGGTACTGGACCCACCTCATCCTCCTACCCCTGCTTATTTAGTTACTGCATTTTCAACTTTCTCACCCAGCTCTTTAGCCTTGGTCACTGACCACGCTATAATAATGAATCTAACGAGGCCATAGCGGGCCTCGGGATGCCCCAGATTCTCCATTATCATATAGGATACTTCTCACCCTCTCCTATTCCACCATCAGCTCAAATGTAACATTTCCAACGTTAAATCCATCATCTCCACAAAGCTTTTTCTATTATTATATTTATTATTTAGTTATTTATTTAAGGGGCACATGTGAACTACTTGCTCTGTGAAGGAACTGGGAGCTAGACAACAGCAGGATTTCTCAACCATTCTTGGGGTTTTCCTGGTGATACAGGAAAGATACTTGAATTCATCTTTAATGCTTTCCTACATTTCATTCCCTATAGCCAGCCCAGTGCCATGAACAGCTTTCCTTCCATGAAAATGCCTCTCCTACAGGTCCCTCTCACCTGACTACCACCAACTCCTGCATTCTAGGAGATCTTCCTCTTCCCAGTGTGAGGCCACTTTGGTTTGGATCTGGAATGTCTCCTCAAAGCCTCCTGCACTCCTTTGGGAGGTGATCAGACTATGCAGGCATTGTATTCACTGGTGCGCTAATTCACAAATGAGTTGAGAGCTAATCGTGCTGCTAGAGGTGGGCCTGGTTGCAGGTGGGTCTATGAGGGCAGGACCTGAAAGGAACGTCTCCCTCTCAGCTATTGCCTCCTCTCTGCTTTCTGTCTCACAGGTGTTGATCACATTTCCCTCTGCTGGGCTGCTCCACAATACTGCTTCTCCCATGCAGCCAGCCAACCATGGACTAAACTATGAACCAAAATAAACCTCCTTCAATTTGTGGGCATTGGGTATTGGGTCTTGATAACAAGGAAAGTAACTAAGACACCAATCTAGCTGGTCTTCACATTACCAGTAATCCCCCCTCCATCTTATGCTTTACTGGCTCTTAGATTTTTTTTCTAAACAATGCTTTTGACAAGCCTCTCCTCTTTTTAAGAGTGTACTGCCACTCCACAATTTCTATAGTGAGATTCCCAGAACACAGATCACAGGAACAGTTCCATGAAAAAGAACCGCTTGAGAAAATAAGTTTAGGAAGTACTTTAAACTCTATCTTCTTTCTGGAGAGAAATAGTGTACATTAACTTATTAAAAATACTAACAACTCCCAAGTAAAGTAATCTGTTTGATCTGGTAGTTCTCACAATTGTTCCACCACTGAACTGATTTATTTGGAGTGACAGATATTGATAACAAACAGAATTGGGGTAAAACAAACTAGCAATTGCTGTCCTTTAGATGAAAGTAAGACACCTTACCCTACCTTTCCTAGTATTTCCTAGTGGAGCCCAAGCATCTATATATACTTAGTTCCTACTTTCCCTCAATATGAATCTTCTATAGAGTTGGCTCAGTCTTTCAAACAGTGTAGATTCATCATTACAAAACATTCTTCAGCACTGACCACTGCTCAGACCCAGGTAATGGGATCTCCTTTGGAGGAAAAACTGTTGGTCACATGTACATGTGTTTGATGATCTACAGTTCTTTAGAAAAATAAAATGTGAAGATACTCAGGTTTACTACTAAGTCATACTTATTTCTAAAATATTCAAATGATTGCTTAAAAAATAAATAAAAGAAATTCTAAGCCCCAAACTCCCTCCTAAAGAAGAAATTTCTTATCTAAAATCCCAAGCAGACAATCCTTTGAACAGGTTTCTCAGGGAGAAATTCATTACCTTTGAGGTAAGATAGACCATTCTGGACACCTCTAGTGGTTAGAAGAGTTTTTTCTTAGGTGCAGATGAAACCTGCCTCTTCAGACTTTGAGAAATCACTTTATGTTTGAGTGTAGTGGCTGGTACGTGTGTTGCAAGGATACGCTGGGTGGCAGTGTGGGGGTGACTCTGCTCTCCTGTTTATTCAGGAAGGTAAACACAGTGGCACAAAAGCAGCTTGGATGCCTGTGGCACACGAGTTCGGTCTTCTTCCACCCTGCAATACACAAATATGCAGAGGAGCTCTCAGCCCTTCTTCCTGAGCCCCTAAAGGTATGGTGCTCTCAACTGAAAAAGATGCTCTCAGGATTCCAAGGGATTCGCACGGAAGCAGGAATATGGGCAGGGAACTGGGACGGTTCATTAAACACCTGTGCTGGTGAGCTGTCAGCCCCAGATGGACACAAGGAAGCAAAAGAAAAGAATTTGTGAACTGCTGACGAGACAAGCCAGTATTCACTTGCATCCCCTCTGCGCTTCTTTCCTTGGTGACTCTCTTTGTCACGCACTGCCAAAATCACTTTCCGGGAGCCCCAGTTCTCCTGGTCTTCACATCTATGTCCGAAGAAATTTTCATGGCTTTGCTCCTTGGCGTCTCTGCAAAGTTCTTTGCATTTCTTCTTTTACAAAGAGCAGAGCCACTTTTTTTGATAAATAACATTAATCTAAAATGCATTTAGATATTCTTGTGAAATGAGATTTTTCTGCATCTGAAATGACTGTATTTTTAAACTGAACTGAGTTGTAAAAATGTTGGCCAACATTGGCATTTAAGCATTAAATGAATTAATATTTATGAAGATTCTATAATAGTGCCAAGTACCTGATGTTAGGTATTACTGTACTCTATCATCTAGATTATCTAGTACTCTGTTTACTATATTATCTAGGATGCACAGAGAAATTTGGAATAGCTGTAGCCTAAGTTCGGACTCAGATGTTCATAAAATAGTAGAAGCAGAGTGGCCAGTAGTCATGAACAAATGCTCCCCAGTCACTGGGGACCTAGTTCCCTCCAGTTGTCCCCATCCTTTCATCTAGGCTGAGCTGCACTTTTTATTTGCTCTCTTGTTTCTTCAGTGTACACACAGTATAGTCAGGCGAGAGCAGCCCCTGAGATTGCAGGGCCAGGGGTCTTGCTTCATTCCAAGGCTTCAGAATCAGCTGGAGGGGGTTAGACTGAGGAGTTAAAGACCTCAGATATATTCAACCACCAACCACTGTATCCCTCACCAAGGCGCTCTCATCTGAGCATTTCATAGATAAAGTGAATATAAACCCAAAATGCTTCACAGCTCAGAAAAACTCTTATTTTTGTATTTCTACCACAAACCAGCCACTCAACGAAGAGCTGAAGAATTAATAGAGGAGTTAAATAAAGGGTGTGCTAGGTAAACTGGGCTGAAGGGATCCCCTCTCCCCCTCCCTCTCCCTGCCTCTCTCTCCCCCGCCTCTGAGAGTGGGATACCATCTTTAGCACTTTTGCATGAACTGAATTATCAGAAATTAAATTCAAGTAACAGGTCATGTATCTTCTTTTTCCCTCCAGGTCATTTTCTTGGTGAACAGTGGTTCAGAGGCCAATGACCTGGCAATGCTAATGGCCAGAGCATACTCAAAGAACACAGACATCATTTCTTTCAGGTAATCACCTTAGAATAGCCAACTTTATCAACACTGACTTATCCCAATACTAAATGTGTATCTTTAACTCTTAGCCTGGAAAAGGAAAGAGGTTTTTGTAGAAATATCTTTCCAATTTTAAGTTTTAAGGCAAGATCAGTCAAGTGAATTTAGTAACTAGGTAAAACCATCCAAATGGGCTTTACGGTTATATTAGTACTAAAAATAATAGAAAACTAAGAATTTGTTCCCAGTTACCTCTTTAGCAGACTCTTACAAGATTATATAACCAGATTCATAAAATTTTTATAAAAGACAGCAGTAACTTAGAGAAAAAATTAGAAGTCTGAATAGTCCCTAACTAACTAGCTTTTTAACCTATCTATAATGTCAGTCTAAATTCATCATCTTTATCATAGCACATATAATACTACACATTCCTTATAAAATGCACATGCAGTAATTATAAGCATAAGGAGATATATGTTATCAAAGAAATATGAAATAAAGGATTATGATTAATGATTTACCAAAATAGTATTTCAGAATATATATGTCCAGGTAAATATTGTTCTGTTTGAAAGAGTCATACATTACCAAAATTTGATACATGCTGTTGTCTCCTTTTTCAAGATATATGCCCATCTCTCAAATAATTTTGTATATTTTCATTTAATGGTGATCTGGAATTGAGAAATGGTCAAAGATAATTAATCTGATTTTTACTAAGTATGACTGTTTCATGTTCAAAAGAAACAAAACCTGTATTTATTATGTGCCAGATAAGGTAGTTATGTCATTTAAAGACCATTCCCCCAAAGAGAGTGACCTCATCACAGGAACAAATACTTGTCTTTTCAAGGTGACTACTTTGAACTTGCAATCATTGAACATGTGATTTCTGGTATGTTGCTTACAGATGAGGCTAGCTATTTTAAAGTAATGATATGGGGCAAGTTTAAAAGTCAGCCAGAGATCTTAGCCAGATGACTTCCAGAAGTCCCTTCATGATTTCAAATCTATGACACCATTTGAAAAGATAAATAAGTGTATTCATGTCATATAGGCTTAGAAGAGTTCTTAGAAATTATCAAAATTTAGTGTTTATGTTGTTCTAGTTCATATCCTTAGCCTTCATAGATTCTTTTTTTATTTTAAAGAGAAAAACAAAAGTAACAACAAAGACAAAAACAAAACCACACAAAAACAATAAAAACTATACAGGATTTCAAAACAAGAGGATAGGAAAATAACAGTTGTCGTTATATTACATATTGCTATCTTCAACAAAGTTGCTTACCAGATGTAAGAATGCAACATTGATCAAACAATTAAAAAGAATAAAAAATAACCAAAAAAATCATTAGAAATGATACAGAGCCTCACTAAACAAGATGGTAGGACTTCGACAAGGGTTGCCATACTGCATACAGTTGTCTTCAAATTAGTTGTAGATTCTTTTGTGCATGTTCTATTCAGGCCAATGACCCAAGAGAAATTAACATGACTCCATCCTCCCATTTCTTTTCTCCAGAGGAGCCTACCATGGATGCAGTCCTTACACACTTGGCTTGACAAATGTAGGGACCTTCAAGATGAAACTCCCCACTGGGATGGGTTGCCAATCAGTGAGTTTCAAAGTTTTGTTTGTTTGTTGTCTTGTTTATCAAAAGACTGCTGGGTATGTGGAATAATGGATCAGATTTTCCTGATATTATAACTAGAAACTAATATAAACATTGTCATTAATCAGCGAATCAACTCGAGTCAAATGCATTGAGAACCATTTAGGGAGCTGCTTATGCCCTTCTGTCTGAGTAATAATTAATGATAGAGCTTTTAATTTGCATGGAGTCTTCATTGTCCTCACCTTCAGTTCTCAAATATATCAATCTTTTCAACTTCAGAATCAGATACTTAATTATCTTTACTCTTTAAAAGGCCCTTATCCAATAAACCTTTGAGAAAGTTGTTTCTAGGCTGACATTTAAATCCGTTTTCTTTGTAGAGTACCCACATAAGTGGTTTCTGAGAAAAAATATCTCTTCAAAGTAACATATTAGATTTTCATCCTAAGCAAGGGAAGAGTGAGGAGACAGACTCTCACTGTCATACTCAGAAGCCCTCTCTCCTTGATCATTGCCGCATGATCCCCAAACTGGCTGTCCTGCATTCATATTTTGCCAAAATCCTTTTTTTGCATTTTCAGACAATGTGCCCAGATGTTTTCCGTGGCCCTTGGGGAGGAAGTCACTGTCGAGATTCTCCGGTACAAACAATTAGGAAATGCAGCTGTGCACCAGGTCCAATGGGGCAGGGAAGGAGGGGCAGGGTGGGTGATCAAGAGGGGTGAAGCACTCAAAGAAGGGCAGAACCATGCCGGCATAAACAACCAAATTTGGAGATATGGGAAAGGGAAGAGTCAAAGAAAACAAAACCTGAAAGTAATAAGAGACCCCCTCATAGCATCAACACTTCCCACGCCTACCACTGCTTGACTACCAGGGCTTCCCTACAGCCATGTAGGAAGGTATTTCAAGCTATCAGAGATCAGTTTAAAATCCACTATGACCTGACAACTGATTGAAGGAGCTCTGTTAGTTCTATTAACAATAGGTCTGGTGTCAGTTATGAAATAAAACAAAGTGGACGGGACTATTTATCAATTCTCAGTGGGAAAAGAAAAAAGGAAAAAGAATACTTTTGACAGTTCAAAACTGGTTAAGGAAAAAAAAAAAGGTCTCCAGGGACAGAGAACCCAAGCCAAAGTAAAAGTATCTGTCAAAACATGAGGCCATTCCTGAAAGCTAGTGACATCTCTTGCAAAAGTTCTGAAGCATTCTCACAAGGAAAATTTCTATGTTATTGGTCACATTTTTTTTTGTCTTCAACAAGAAAGAGATGTGGCATTGAAACATAATTTTCACTTCACTTGTCAGCAAGCCCTGTCTCGTATTGTCATCGTAATGCGGGACTTTTTGAAAAGCTGCTCCTGAGTAGTTCCCCTCTGGAGGAGGAGCACACTGCTGTAGCCAAAAGATCTTTAATGGAATAGTATGAGTCACCAGGTTCAGAAGAAGAATACAAGATAGAAGTCTTAAGAATCATCCTTGAATAAAAAAAGAGTCACAGTCACCACAGTTTTCAAATTCATATGGCATCATAGCCAATGGAGGTAGGAAGATGGAAGGATAAGCACTGAACTAAGACAAAATACCCTGTTCACAGGATTTAAAACTACAAGGAAGCTCAAAGCTATAATTCAAACTCTGCATTTTAAAGATGAGGAAACCAAGGTCCACATAAAGAAAATGGTTTAATAGAAATTTAAATTTAATTTTTACTTGACTATATGAAGTAAAGCCTCATATGTATATCACACCTGTATAGTGCCTAAAAGTAAAATATCAAGAAGTAAAATCAGACTCACAGGCCTGAGTCTGTCTGCAAAACCACCGGCACAGGGTTTAGTAGATGGGTCATTCCCTCCCTATTCCATGACCGTCTCTCTCTCTCTCTCTCTCTCTCTCTCTCTCTCTCTCTCTCTCTGTCTCTCTCTGTCTCTCTCTGTCTCTCTCTTTCTCTGAGCCCTCCCTTTTTGAGGACTTCTGCTATGACTTAACAACTTAAAAACTCCAGCCCACATGGTCATCTCTCTAGACATGCATTTCTGCTTCTCTGAACTGTTGTCTGATTCAGAGTCAGCTGTTTTCTTAACCACTAACCAGTCCAATTATTTAAGTACAGGATGACCAAAAATTGCATATTTTTATTAATTTTTATAAGATACTATAGCAGGAATGTAAAAATGACAACTTTGTCTAATTTATTCAATACAAGAATCAACTGGTTAGGGGCTGGGGATTTAGCTCAGCGGCACAGCGCCTGCCTGGCAAGCGCAACGTCATGAGTTCGATTCCCTGTACCAGAAAAAAAAAAAAAAAAAAAACAGAAAAAGAATCAACTGGTTGAAAGGATACACCCCTGGGCAATGTTCCAGATGGTCGTTACTGCCTGAGTGACACTTAGAGTAAACTGTTAAGTGACTAACTCTTTTTTTCTTTCTAATTCATTTTATTGGTACCCTTTGGACATACATAACGATCACATTCATCATAGGCAATTTGTTCCTGTACATGGTAAACTTTGATTATTCTTTCTTCCCATTCCCTTCCCTTCAATCCTTCTTCCCCTCTCCCTTTACAAAACTTTGTTTCTATTGTTTTCCTTCCATCCTTTTTGATGTTTTAATCTCTGTTCCCTCCCTCTCTTGTCCCCTCCCTCTTCCCTTGCTCCCCTTCCTATTGGAACATTTTCTTCCTACTTCCCAATATTTACCATGCATTTTGGTCCTTATTTACCCTTTGGGTTTCTAACACAAGGTAAACCATGCAATATTTAAACATGTCTATCCAATTCATTTCATTTAAATTATGTCCTCAAGGTACATCCATGTACCTAAAATGTTTCAAGTTTATCCTTCTTTATGACAGAGTAGTCCTCCATTGTAAGTTCAAGAGACAAGATTGATATCATATCTTTAGATAGGCTGGAATGCAAAAAGGGACTCCAACCTCCTCCATTTGCACCTGGGAAGTGTTTGGTCTTTGTTGTCAGACTAGTGAATTCACAGATCCATATCGACATAAGTACTTTGTGCACAGAGGACTCCAGTTCCCAGTTCCTCTCAGTCTGTCAACTGGATGCATACAGATCCCAAGCACGGTAGGGATATTTTCACTTCAGAATTATGTTATCAAATCCCAGAATAGGCAAGAGGCCATATTGCAGGCCTAATATAGATTTTTTTTTAAAATGTGATAGCTTTTGTTATCTTACTTTGTCTATCTTCCCAAGAGTTTTTCTCTCCAGGTGTTCATTCCAAGCCCTGACTTTCAGACGTAACCCATATGAAATTCGCCTGTTATCACCCACTGCCCCCATAATGTATTAATCATGCCATTATTCTCCATTGGGAAGGAAGGTTTTCTTTTCCTTAAAAATTGTTGATCTTTTTTGGTGCCTCATTCTGCTCTTCCTGCACCACCAACTAAAATAGACTCCCATAGCCACCCTGTGGTAGTATCCACATCCTCTTGTAGTTGTCATGGAGAACTAATATACCAAGTCTCTCTCCAGAGGTGTCCTAACCTGGAGTCACAGCAATGAGCCACTGAAGCAAGTATGAAATAAAGAGATGAACAGAGTAGACAACCCTCTCATCCCTGAGCATGTGGGCACGTGGGGGGGAAAGTCAGGAAATAGCTAGCAGAGGCTCAGGCAAAACCTTCCTTCCCTGAAGTTTTACCTAAATTTAAGCCTTTGGGTTGATTTTACTGTAATCTTTGATTTTTGTAGCTACAAAAAGGCTTGCTAAATCTCTAAATCATGTCTTTGGAACACCTTTTAGTCCATCCTTTAGGATTATCCAGTGCCATTTTCTCTTCCTTTCCTAATAAAATGAGGGTATCTCACTCTCTAGAAACATAGATTTGTCTATCGGGTCCTATCCATCAAAGCAACCTAAGTGATTCCAAAAACACACCTTCTGAATCTCCATTCCCATCACTCCTCCTTCCTCGTGTGCCTAACCTCCCATCTCCAACTCACCAAAGATGCCAGATAGATCTGTCAGTCAAGCTTACTGAAGTATCACATGCTTGGGGACAGGTAGCATTTTTCTTCAGTTCTTCTTAATGAAGAGCTGAAGTATAAAATGTATTTTTGCTTCACTTATGATGCAGATTGTGGATAGATTCTCTTCCATATCTCTAGCCTTCAGGAGACAAGCTACGTTCAAACCTCTAGGTAAATGATGCTGTGGTGGGTGGTGATTCTCCCCCAACCAGACTGTTCTCATGGTCACATGGGCAGAGGTCTCTATTGTGTTCACATCTCTTTCTGTGTTCTTTCTGCTCAATGTACCTCTGGGTTTAAGTTCAGCGATGCTATAATGCTCTTTGAAATTAAATTACAAAATTATGAAAATTCAATCATTTTTGGATGGAATTGACCTGGAACCTTTAGTATTCCACACCAGAAAAATTCCTCTCTTGTCCTTTCTGTTTCCTTGGTGGTTCCCACCTTCAGTGGTGACACACAAACAAATGGCAGCTTCTGGAGCTTGAACAACACTTCCGGGCAATCTTTGCCTTCCTCGTGTCCTCTCACCCACAAGATTTCATGCCTATTTGAGTGGGGAGTCTAACAGATAAGGTAGCACCCACCACCACCAGCAGGATGTGAACATAGACACGGTTACTACTGAGACGTTTGAGCTGGATGGACAACAGTTGGTGGCATTAATATGATAGCTTGGGTCATCTCCAGCTGCAAAAAAAAAAAAAAAGAAGAAAAAAAAACCCTAGATAAAATATAAAACACCCTCTCTTTAAAGCATTGATACAAAAAAATAAGAATTTTCAGAATTCTCTAAAAATCAAATAATGATTGATTACTATAAGGAAAAGTAGTTTATATAATAGTCTGAATTCATCTATGGTATTTAAAGTTCATTCCTGGAAAACTCAGTTTAATTCTATACAGCTAAGCTCAAGTACATTACTTTTAAACCTTTCTATATATAAACCCAAAAAGAAATATTCCATTAACCAAAGTAGCAACATTTAAACTAAAATTACCAAGACATAGGAAACTCCAAGATTCCCCTTTCTCACATTTTATCCAAAAAGACCTCAAAACACATCAGTAACCAAAACCAAGTTATTATTTGGAGAAAGGACAATTCCTTATTGAGAGGAATTTGTTTTTCTGTTCTATTAAAAAAAAATTTTTAATGAAAAATAGAATTAATCATTTTAAAGAATGAAATAAATGCCCCCGGCTATCTGAACAATTTATTGCATTCTTAGGAAAAAGTGTGCCTATGATTCAAAACTTTCTTGAATAAACCTGTCAAAGCACTCTACAAGTCAAAAAAAAAGGTCATTAAAAGGTCGTTTTCTAAATTCTAATCTATCCAGGTAACACACAGGACTACTAGTTAAAATCATGCTTTAGATTTTTCTCATCTGTACCTCATTTCTAAACTTTAAATTTTTACAGATGCTTTAAATAAAAAAACTATGAATTCCTTTAAGAATAATAATAAAACAATTCTCAAAAACCTAAAGAGGTCATTAAAACAATGTAGCCACTTTTGGCCTGTGGGCATTTGTCAAATCTGGTAAACTTTGGCTTCAGTTTTTATAGTTCTAGGGGTGCAGGATAAAAATTGCCGAGTCTAGGACAAAGCCAAAGGAGCGCTGTCCTAAGGAAGCCTCTTCTGCCTCAGAGCTGGAATCCACAAGAGCCCACATCTTATCCATGGTCGACTAGAAATAACTGCTCCAGCAGCAACTCAGCACATACAAGAAAATCTGTGAGGGTTCTCATTCTGAACGGAAGTGAAGGGCACCTGGGAGGAATAACTACCAAAAATCTGAACCATCATGAGTAGCATCTATATCAATCTCAAGCTTAGGCTGGGGATGTCCTGTGTGCCTAGAAGCTTCAGATGTTACCCTGGAGGAATCTATCTCATTCTAAGACTCAAAGAAGTCTCACAAATGAAATTCCAAAGAAAATAAACAACCTATAGTCAAGAATAACCAACACACAAAGATGCAAAACTCCATATTCATGAAAGAGACCCACAGGGATTTCAAACAACAGTTATCAGATAGACTAGAAAATGAATGTGCTTAATATATTTTTAAAAAATCAAATATAAGCTTCAAAATATATGTAGGAGATAAGAAACTATGAGGCTTGACAAAGCAAATTTTGAAAATGAGTAAATCTTCTAGCAATAAAAAAGTAATCATTGATTTTTAAAACACAGTGGGGTTAGCAGCAATTAGATCCAGACAAAAAGAGAATTAATGAATTAAGCACGTCATTTGAACAAGGACATTTTGTTGCCTATCCAGAGAAGAAAGACTTTCAAATAAATTGTTCAGTCTCTGACAGTCATCCTAATTTCTACTATTTGTTCCCTTGTCGATTCATCAAGCCTTTACTGATCACCTGCAGGATACTAGATGCCTTGCTTGGCCACAGATTCCAAAACTGAACAAGCCACAGTTTCTGTTCTGTATTAAAGGGGAAAGATCTGTAAACAAGCATGGGACCGAGAGCCAAGAGCCACAGTGGGTGAAAGTTATCTGACTCTAGCCTTTGCTCTTTGGACTAAATAGTACTAGTTCTACAAACATATTTACTGACTAAAGACAGAAATACCTTTTTCTTAAAAAAAAAAAAAAAAAAGTAATGGTTGGTAAAACTATACCTCAGATTAAGTAGTGATAAAAAGAAAAGGAGTTATTTAAAAATTTTTTACTTTGATTAATACATGTGTGTAGTACATAATGATCACATTCACTCCATAATGAAATTGGTACATGTACGTAACACATCTCATTTTTCCCCTCCTTCTCACCCACCTTTTACTTTTCCAACATCATATTCATTTATTTATCCTAGAAGACCTTATAAAGTCAATTATCATATACTATGCACAGATTGGAAACCAGACTAATAGGCTGAAGAACTTATAAAACATGCAAGAAAATTGTACTAAGTCAAGGTATACATTTAGATACATTGTCTGCTCTGAATTACAATAGCTGTTTTTCTTTCTGTCTGTCTTTCTTTCTTTGTTTTTCTTTCTTTCTCTTTTTCCCTATTAATTAGAGTTATTTTCAAATAGATTAAATTATCCCAATTACATTTGAATTAGACACAGCCATTTGAGAATGGCTGAATATCCTTCAGTGAAATAGCTATACCACATGCAGCAACACTCTAAGGGCATTTCTTTCCCAGACAAAAATGACCGCAGTGATTTTTTTCATGTCCTTATGTCTACCCTAATAAATGGAAGTCATTTCTACACAACACTTTCTCCTCAGAAACAAATGTTCTTATATCCTAGTTTACTATATACTGAGGTTTTGCGATCAGTTTACTCTATTTTTCTTCTTTTCTCTACGATTTTTTCCATTCTTCTCACATCTTCAAATGCTGTGACTTGTGTGTTTCTTTGTGTATGTGCTCGGTTTTATTTTTTGCAGACTGCTGCCAAGCTAAGGACCAGTATATTGAACAGTTCAAAGATACTCTGAACACTTCTGTGGCCTCATCAATTGCTGGATTTTTTGCAGAACCAATTCAAGTAGGTATATGAAGCTTAGACATTAATTGAACTCAGCTCTACATGAAAGGAGAGCTTTAATGCACAAATTTTAGGGAATTGTAAAATAATTAAGTGTCCATTGTTGCATCATTTTCCAAATTTAATTCATTTTCTTGGTTCTCTTAAAAAATAAAGTCCTGATTTTAAATTGACCTCCATTTTTACAGATGGATGAAGTTCTCAAGAAAAGGAAATCCTCGTGCTTTGTAGTTGCTTAGCACTTATAATGTTAGGAGTAGTCTTCCTTAAATCTCAGCAAGTCCCCTTATTCTACTTTTTTCTAAAAAAGTAGAATATTCCATTTTCCAGAAGGCCTGGTTGGAACAGTGCTATAGACTGTTTATAAAATCATTTTCATTACTATTACGATAATGACCTGCCTTCTCTCCATTTTTAATGCTGTGAAAGGGTTTGTGCTGATGTTATAGGTCTTGGTTTTGTCTTTTACAGGGTGTGAATGGTGTTGTCCAGTACCCAAAGGGGTTTCTAAAGGAAGCCTTTGAGTTGGTGCGAGACAGGGGAGGCGTGTGTATTGCAGATGAAGTGAGTAGCAATGGAAGGGTGTAATTTAGAGGGTGGGGTCAGGATGAGTACAGAGAAAACCCTACTTATACCCTCTGTGATACTCCAAATGGAAAACAGCAAGTGTTTGAACTCTGAAATGTGACCATAGATTAAGTTAGCTTTTGCTAGTTGGCCAACTGGTTTGTTAGATTACTTGTTCAGTTTAACAAGTACAACATAACCTAATATCCAATTGATGTCTATCAAATAAGTTGCTAACAGGCATCAGTGATGCTACTATTTAATGTGTGTGTGTGTGTGTGTGTGTGTGTGTGCGCGCACACCTGCACACACGCACCTTTTTGGTGTTCATAGCGGGAGCACTGACAAGCCATCAGGAAACTGAACTTCATAGCCAAATGTTCATCTTAATTTGCCAAAATAATATTAACCAATCTGAGAGCAGTTATCTTTCTGACCATGTTTGCCTAGAAATGATATTTTAAAAAATAATAATAATCCAGCTGCTAAATTAGATGAGTGTTGCCATTATTGGTATTGGAAAATAGTTCCCCCAAAATTAAAATCACGAGGTTAAGTTAATAAACATACAATACCCCCAGGGGAAGTACTTTAAAGAGAATAACACCCACTGGCTGTGTAAGCAGTAGACTATGTGTTTAAAAAGAATACACTTACTTATTATTACCCTTCGTATTAAGGTATATCAAAGAATATAGGCTTTTACGTTCTAAGTGTAGCTATGAAGACTAAAAGACCAGAGGAGGATCACCAGGGCCATAGAAGTACAGAATTTACATGTTTCATGCCTGTCCCAGCCCTTCCATCTTTGCCTAAACAGTTTCCCTCACTTAAAAATTCTCTACAGCAGGGCTGGGGATTTAGCTCAGCGGTACAATGCCTGCCTGGCAAGTTTGAGGTCATGAGTTCAATTCTTGGTACCAGAAAAAGAACGAAAAAAACAAAAATTCTCTACAGCTAATATTGATTGAGCTGAGCTCATGGCAGAAACTTTGCATTGCCACCAGTTCATGTGCAGCCAGGTCTCTTTTGCCATGAATGCACTGATGTCCCTGGTGACAGCTCAGGCCGGCTTCCTTCTGCACAGCCGTCCTCTCTCCCAGCCTGCCTGCAAACTGAGCAAAGTCCTCGCTGAGGAAAGTTAATCTGTCTTTTATTTTGCAATAGACAGAAGGAAACAGGAAGATAGATCTTTTGCAAATGGGAAGGGGTCCAAGAAACCAAGGGCAAGGGGAGGAGGGGGACAAGGGGAAATAAAAATATCTAAGACATGTCTTATACATTTACCAAATAACCACAATGAATGTCAACAGTATATGTCATAAACATGACATGATAATAATAATAATAATAATGAAGCTGGGAAAAGGGGACTTAGAGATGGAGAGAGAGGTGGGTTGGGAGGGGAAGGAGATTTGAAAAGAATCAAGATGTGGTCTGTACATGTACCTACTCTAAGGTGAATGTAAACTTCATGCACGAACAAAATAAAATTTTTTTAAGAGAAAGTTAATCTGCTAGTGACAAATAAGAAAACACCATTCAATCATTGTGAAGTTAGCTAAATCAGGGAAGATGGTAAACTTTAGTCTCAAAATCAGAACACAGTAAAACTGCCATAGACTAATTAAAGGGAAGGTAGGCTGAATTCAAAGAAAATATGAATTTCAGAATTTTCTAGGAGATGTGGCTTCAAGACTTTCAAGAACATAATTGGAGAACGAGCTCACACAGGGTAACCTTCAGAACGACTGTCTAATGAATGTGATGTTGACTGCTTTTAGGCACTATGAACATCCAGAGCGCGCCCCCCCCCCAGCCAACCCAGCCACTGTGCCCTCTGGGTATACGCATCACCAAAGACGTTCGGATTTGGACATCTTACAGTGCTCCATTTCTGCCCTATTACACATCCAATGCTATGAAACTTATTCTTCCTGGATGACTAAACATGGGGTAACCTTCTACATCACTTCATGCCTTGTCCAAGGCATTTGATGGTTCACCAATTTTACCCTTTATCTATGGCATTTACATAGATGGAGTGAAAAAAGGAAAACAGGCAGGAAGATAAAATGCATAGATGTTCCTACCTTACCTCATTTGGACCAAATAATCAGTTCTCCCAGAGACCTATCACTAGGGAGCAAGAAACGTAGGATTCAAGCCCACATCTGTCTCTCACCCGTATCTAAACTCTTCCTCTGCATTGGTCACTGTCATCAAAGAATAACCTCTGCAATCTGCTTTTGGTACAACAGCCTAGAGTGAGTAGAGGAAATGACAAAAAGCCTGAGGAAAAAATGTGTTACTTTAATTGCATTTAGAATGAGCTTCAGGTGCCCACACTTATCCCACCCTAGAATGTGTGTATGCACAGTGAGACAGACACGAAGCCAGGAAGAGACCAAAGAACCTTCACCATAAAGGCTCTGGCAGTAAGTTGCATGGAGATGTTTATGAGGCTTTACTCAATTAGATATTTCTGCCACTCCTTCATTCATTCTACAGACCCTGTGTGCACTTTGTATCAAATGCTCTGCTAGGTGTTGTGGACAGATGAGGAATAAGGCACAGTCCCTGCTAGCGAATACGTATGTTGGCGATGACAGTCCATGTGAGAGGCTCTGATGGCAACATGGCTAGACTGCCTTGAGTGGGGGCCTACTGGGCTCAGGAAAACTGTCGTAGACCAGGTGACCATAAACTGGGTTTTCAAAGACAGAAAGTTAGTGAGATGAAGAGGCAAGAAGAGGATCTTCTAGAGGAAAGCATGCACAAAAACTAAGGTCTACTTTCAGTCCAAACCCTGGCAATTTCCAAAGTAGGAAGTTCAACCCTGACTTCAGCACCTCCGCTGGTCATTCTCACAGCACAGTGCTCAGGAGGGGAGGAGCGCACCCAACCCATCTGCACAGGGTGGCGCACTGGACAGACAGCAACTCCTGCTCCTCCCACGGAGACAGAAGCAGCTTCTCCACTTTTTCCCCACTGCCCTGCACACAGGAAACGCTTATTAGGAATGGTTCATCATAATGAACCTTTCATATGCATTATTAAGATCATGCTCATAACAGCCCTGTGATGTACTGAGATTAGTATTTCTGCTTGACAGGTGAATTAACCAAGATGCAGAAGACTTACAGAACAGATCCAAAATCGCAGCAAGCTAGTAAACTGTCTTGGTGCCTAAAGACTTAGACACAGATTGAGGGACAGAACAAGGATGGTGGCGATGACATGGAGGAGAGAAAGGAGGGGGAGGAAGACAAAGAAGAGAGAGAGGACCAGAAGGAGGAGGAAGCTGAGGAAGAGAACAGAGACTCTTGGGCTGGGGTTTCTCTTAAAAGGTTTCCAATGGTTTTGAATCTGTTTTCATCAGGTGCAGACGGGATTTGGAAGGTTGGGCTCTCACTTCTGGGGCTTCCAAACCCATGAAGTTCTACCTGACATCGTCACCATGGCTAAAGGGATTGGTAATGGCTTTCCTATGGCAGCCGTTGTGACCACTCAAGGTAGGACCTGGGCCAGTTTGTGCCTGCCTCTGGGCCTCCTGCATTGGGACTGGTGTAAAGCATGTGGGCTGAAACTCTCAGGGGATGGAGCCGGTGGTGGAAACCACATGATGCATTTCCTAGGCCAATGAGAAAGAGACGCAGTCTGGGGGAAGATGGAGAAAGCAGCCTTTTCTGTAGCCCTTTTCTGTAAAGAAAACTAATTCTCCAATTCTCCAATTAAATTTAGGGTTCCACTACATTGACAAGGGGTAGGAAAATATGCCACAAAACCTACCCTAAAGCTTCCTCCAAAATCATGCTCCTGCAAGAAACACACGGTTATTTAGTCTTACCACAGCAATCACCTATAGGCTCAAGATTTATACTATGTCACTTGGTTAATTCATGTCTCATCAACAAAACAGCCAAGCACATTACATCTCACTTATCCACAACAGTCTATGAAATGACACTAGATCTGTATTTTCCATTTTAGTGAGGTTTTTCAGGGTATTATTATTTAGGAACTATTGATTGTTAAAAATCTTTAGATTATTACATTTGTAGTTCCCACCAGTAGAAGGCATGTATTTGAGCTCCTAAATAATTAAGTGCCTTGTGATAGCTCAGTGTTTTTATTGAATGTTAAAGGTACAAAAATGCATGATACAAGGAAAGTGAAATACAGTAAATAATATAATTCCAAAACACTACGGGTTTATGTTGTAAACATGAGCTTGTTTTCTTTGCACTTCCTTCTTAGTCTTAGGAGTAAGATTCAAAAGAAAAGGTTTAAAAAACCGGGCATGGTGGTACATGCATGTAATCACTCAGGAGGCTGAGGCAGGATTGCCGTGAGTTCCAGGTCAACCGGGACTACATAGACACTGAATTACAAAGAAAGACTGTCTCAAAACAACTCCCCCAAAAAGAAGGTTTAGCTAATTGAAGATTCTGTGTAAATTCTTATATGTCAAATTGTATGGCATTTTCAAATTTACACAACACATTAAAGGTTTTGTGATCAAACTTCTCATTGAGTCAATAAACTCTTTTTCCTTGTCCACTATATTAGCTCAGAGTGGCAGACCAAGATACAGTACCACAGATTGGGGAGTTTATACAGCAGGCACTTATTATCTCACAGACTTTTTTTTTTGTTTGTTTTGTTTTGTTTTTCTCCGGTACCGGGAACCGAACTCACGACCTTGCGCTTGCCAGGCAGGCGCTTTTGCCGCTGAGCTAAATCCCCAGCCCTATCTCACAGACTTTAAGGCTAGAAATCTAAGATCAAGGCACCAGCACAGCGGGTTTCCAGTGATTCTTCCTGATGGCACACAGCCTCCTTCTCATCAGAGCCTCACGCGGCCTTCTCCGTGTATGCACAAGGAAGAGAGAGGTAGAGAGCATGCTGGGGTGTCCTTAATAGCAGGACATCAGCAGTCTTATTGGAGGAAGGCTCCGCCCTTACAATCTCAGTAACATTGGTTACTTCTTTAAAGGCACAATCTCCAAATATAGTCACATTCAGGGTTAGGCTTACCCAGATAAATTTTGAGCACATACAATTCAGTCCCTAACATCCACTCTTAGGTGAGTGAAAAAGGTTGTCTGTAATGCGAATATGTATGCAGTCCCAGTGGTGTGATGGAGGTGATGGGTGGAACGTGTCACTCTATCCACATTTTATTTTCCCCTAGAAATTGCCAAATCGTTGGCTAAATGTGTGCTCCATTTCAACACCTTTGGAGGGAACCCCATGGCCTGTGCCATCGGATCCGCTGTGCTTGAGGTGCGTTCCAGCAGTCACACATCATACATTTCACAAAATTCCTTTTCAAAGCCGCACACATTGTCATGACTCTGTCGTTGTGTTAAAGTGGAGAGTTAATAAGTAATGCATCAACTTCAGTTACACTTGCAGTATTATCTTCCCCCCCTTTAAAGATCTACTTTGGGTAATTGAAACATTGGACAAAAAGTAATCTGTATATATGATCTATATATATAATTACCTTCATATACATGGAAAACATGAGGATTCCCTTAGCCAGGGGACGCCATGGAAAATGTTCTGTTATCTGAGTAGCATTTTATGAATACTTAATAACTCTCTTCCACCTTCCTAGTTTAATTTTGGCCTTGTATTGTGTAAGTGTTTTCCTTCCTTTCTTTTGTTGTGCTGTAATAAATTAAAAGACTAAAGAAAAAATAAGTTATTTGATTACAATGAGGTAATTCAGCTTTATGAACAATTGTTCAGCCCTATTTCATTGATTAAGCATGGTGACAGCCAATTTTTCTGTTTAAAATTTCTACTTTTTAAATGCCCTTGAAAAAATACCATTTGCTTAAGTATGACATATTTCTCAAAGAATGTCCAAAAGGGCAATAACAGTAGTTATTTGTAGCAAGGGAATCTTGCTTGAAGTTGAGGATCAGCAAGAGTCATCCTAGTGGCTATACTTCCATGCTTCCTGATTTTTGAACCATGAACATGATGTACTTATTTCAAAAATAATTAAATTTTAAAGTATTTTAAATAAAAATAAATTAAGGTTGCCTTTGTTAATTACTTATCTTCAAATATGACTAATTCATGAGATGAGATACTGATGGTAAAAATATATCATTTAGCCTGCCAAGTGTGAGATCCTGAGTTCGATTCCCAGCACACAAAAAAATATATTATTTATTTCTTTTTTTTTTTTTTTTTTTTTTTTTTTTTTTCCGTTATCGGGAACCGAACTCACGACCTTGCGCTTGCCAGGCAGGCGCTTTGCCACTGAGCTAAATCCCCAGCCCCATTTATTTCATTTTGTAGACAGTGCCAGCTCTTTTGTTGTTGCTGTTGTTGTTAATTATTATGTCCGCAAAAAAAAAAAAAAAAAAAATTGTTGGGGCTGGGGATTTAGCTCAGCGGCAAAAGCGCCTGCCTGGCAAGCGCAAGGTCGTGAGTTCGGTTCCCGGTACCAGAGAAAAACCAAAAAAAAAAAAAAAAAAAAAAAAAAAATTATTATGTCCGTTGCGTCCAATTTAGAAGGTAGGAAGGGTTTAAGTAAGCCAATAGGTCTTAAAAACATTAAGATTCACCTGGAGTCATGCAAGCATTGTCACCTAATATAAATGCAGTGTATTTTGCATGGCTTATCAAGAGTCACAGGTGTCTTCCGTGAATGGAATTTAAGTGAGAATCCTTTTATATCTTCAGGTGCCCTGCTTTCTCTGGGCACTAAAAGAGGTCAGCTTGGCTAAAGAGGCCAGGCTCCAAGCTAAGGTCCCTGGGCTGCGAAAGCCTGTGTCGGGTTGAAGGCTACTAAACAAAATCACCACCCCACAGGAAGGAAATGTTCTTTCCTCAGAACGCTTGTCATTTTTAGATCTGTATCTTAGTCCTCAGCAAAGCCTGGAAATAATGAATTACTAAAATGTGTGCTACTGACAATGCTTAGACACACCTCATATTTTTTCCTAAATTTGTACTCACTCCTGAAAGGAGGAGGTATCCGGAGGAAACATCTTTTCTTGCAAGACTTTATCCTTTACACAAAAATCTTTTTCTAGCTCATGGTGTATGTACACTAGACTTTGTTCTGGTTTCTGTTTGTCTGATTGTCTTAGTTACTTGTCTCTTATTGCTGAGACAAAATGCCTGACGCCCAAAATTAAGGAAGGAAAGGTTTACTTAGCTCACAGTTTGTGGAGGTTTCAGTCTGTAATCAGCTGGCTCCAAGGCAGGGTGGCAGGGCACAGGGGCAACAGCTCAAGGAGGGAGAGGCCAGCAAAAGCAGCAAGAGCAAAAATGGGAGAAAACAAGCCTGTTTCCCTCCCTTATATTGTAAGCAGCCCCCCACCCAGGGTGGGTGCAGCACTCACACCATCTCCATGCCTTCCTCTTGCACAGGATGAGGATGTTTACAAAGTCAGGATCCTGGCTCCCTGCTGAGTCATTTAGTTAAACTTCTAAATTTCTCAAGTTGACACAGTGTATTAACCATTACCCTGATTAAGGTATTAGGAAGACAATGAAAGCTGGACATGGTGGCATATGCCTATAATCCCCAGCACTTTGGGAGCCTCGGGCAGAAGGAACACAAGATTGAGCTCAGGCCTGGGTAACTTAGTGAGACCTTGTCTCAAAATAAAAATAAATAAATATAAAACAGGACTGGGTATGTAGCTCGCTATGTAGGTTCTAGGATCAATCTCACATGCTGCAAAAAGAAAAAAAACATCATGGACATGTATCTCTGAGTTTCTCAGTCATTCTTAGAACTTTTGCCATTGGTGCTCTCCCTCAACAGGTGATTAAAGAAGAAAAAGCACAAGAAACCAGTCAAGAAGTTGGTACCTACATGTTACTGAAGCTTGCTGAGCTGCGGGATGAGTTTGACATTGTTGGAGATGTCCGAGGCAAAGGCCTCATGATCGGGATCGAAATGGTGCAGGATAAGGTAGGTCCTGATCCAGTGCTCTCTCAGTGGCTGCTCAGGGTCAGTAGGAGTTAGTGTGGGAAGCATCAGCTCAAAGCATGCTTCATTCATTTTCAGGGAGGAAGTATCTGCAGACAGCAAGGCTTGGCAAGGCCCTTGTGAGATGAGTAGGGAGGAATGAGTATGAAGAAAACGTTAGTAGCTCATGGGGAATTCTGAGAGGTGGGGGGAACTGGAACTTGGAAAGGAGAGCTGGTATTGCTCTTACCAGAGTAGGTAAAGACTATGGGCAATGAATGAATATTTGGAAATATGTGGAACGGAAGAAGTTATCTGGGAAAGCTGGTGGAGAGAGCTAGCGGAAATAAAGAAAAAAAAAAGAAAAATAAAGAAAAAAAGGAAAAAGGAGAAAGTCATGGGAAAGTTTGGGGTGAGAATGTTAAAAATGTATTGGGTTTTATACTTATTTGACTGACTGATCGGTCGGTTGTTTCTCAATGGTTTCAATCTCCTGAGTAACCAGGGAAGAATGTACCCCCTGAGATCCTGAACTCAATATGACAGCAATGAATTTAGCATCATTCTTCCCAAGAGCACTGATTCTGTTTCTCACCCTCTGCCCCTCTCCTCACCCCCAGCCTGAATACTACAAAATAACCTGTGACTCCTCTGGGGACCTTCTTGGCCTCATTACTCAAATCCTCACACTGCTTGTCTGTTTCTGTTGCTGCTGACCCTGGAGTCCCTGCCAGTAGGAAATCAGACCTTTCCACCAGAGAAGCAGAAATCTTGGCATAGAGAAGAGTCCCTGGGCCAACCTCATATCCCTAATTTCTCTTCACAGGATCCACTGTACCTTGACTAATTTCTTGCTACATATTTGGTCTTACCATACTATTGTACAGGGATTAGTGCTCAATTGTTTTACTATTCAGGCCAGACCATGGATATAAAACTCTTCCATGAATGCCATATGGCGAAGCCAGTACAAAGCTGGCTGAATTAAATAAGATATGAAAGCTAAGGGAAGACAACAGGAAAACAAACAAAGAATAAATGAGATGAAGCGCATAGCTCCTAAGCTGCCCTATCCAGATCTTCAGCTATGGTCCAGTACAAGGTTACTTTAAAAGCATATCCCAGTCCCCACCCCAGGAGCACCCTCAAGATTATCTACACTCCTCAAAGGCAAGAATTCAGAGATGGTAATTCAGTGGGAGAGGAGGGGTGGGGCTGTTCCAAACACAACTTCTACACGGTTGAAGTCATACAAACAAAGATGTTCATCAGAACTTTGTCCTAGCAAAACAACAGAATCTTCCCAAAAGACTACTGATATTGAAAAATTTAAATTATAGTGCATCCCTACTACCACGGCATAGATATGGAGAGATGTTCAAACTACGTGGTAGAAAAATAAAACAGGTTATAAAGCAGTATCTACGGAATGAGCTCTTTTTCTCTTGTTTTGCTGTATCACATAAGCATGGGCTCCGGTTTGCATCCCTGTTTTTCCAGTCCCCAGTTCTACTCACTGTCGCCTCGATACCATTCATTCTCTTAAGCCCAACTGTCGACTTGTCCTCCAGCATGGAGTAGCACCCTCCTCTCTGTCTCTACGTACCCAGGCCCAGTTCCGCATCACACCTGTTCTTAAAAGCTTACCTTTGCCTCTCCCCATGCAGGGGCCCTGCCCTGCCCTTCAGAGAATTCCTTATGTACTCACTGTCCAAGGAGCTCCTTTAGAAAGATCTCTTCCACTCTGTTAGTTCTGGCTGCTGTAACAAAGGTCCTTAGATTGTGTATGTTATACATGACAGAAATGTATTCGTCACAACTCTGGAGGCCGAAAATTCAACATCATGAGGGAGAAGGGAGCTCTCTGGGCTTTTGTAAGGCAACTCATTCCATTCGTGAAGGTTCCATCCTCATGACTGAAACTGAGAGGGATGTGGTAGGGTCAGGGAGTAGAAATACTCAGTCTAAGGCATCTACCATGCATTTATTGTCTCAGTTTTTTAATGTGTGAATAACCTATTTTCCTAAATAATTTGTATGCTCTTGAGGTCAGAAAGCAAACAGTGCTTTGTTTTTTGTGTATTGGTTTCACATCCCTGCAACACTTCAGGCTGCATTTATGTAATTACAGCATCCAGAACTTTGCAATGGTGCTGTCTAGCATAACCCAAGATAAACATCCCCATATGCTATAAGTGAGGATGTAAATTGGTACGACCCTTTGGACAGCACTTTGTGTCTATCAAAATTGGAAATGTCTATACCTTTTGACCTTACAGTTCCACTGCTAGAAATGTGTCCTAAAAAATACTCAGAAATACATATAAAGATATATATGAACAGGAATGTCGGCTGCATTATTTATAGTCATAAAAAATTGGAAATAAATCTAGATGTTCGGTAATAGGAGATGGAAAAATTACTGGCAAATAACAAAATATGAGGCCATCTTTAAGGAAACTATGTAGAGAAATATACTCTCATGGAAAGATGTCCAAGATATAGCACAATAGACCCTCGAAATTCATGAGGGCTATGTTCCTACAGCACCCGTGAATTGTGAAAAACTGCAAATTTCAGATATGGCCAGATAATACCTCTAGCGCCTATTTTTATGGTTTACACACTACATGTGCTATGTCTTCCACAGTTATGTAATTTAATTTAATAAAATAATAAAATGTATTAATAAAGCCTTACAAGGTGCAGAGCATTTTGGTAGCATCTCCGGGATCTCAGACCAAGAACTGTGGAGATAGCTACAGCACAGCAACCTGTTATGATGTGGAGATGCTGGTGCATCCGCAGAGATGGGTTACAGGCAGCAGCCGATTAACAGCAGGGAGAACTGAGTAACGCTCTCGGATTAGCTACTTGAAAACCTCCTACCAAAAAGCAATTGTGGAGGATTTATGCGGTCTCTGTGAAATTCTAGGGGTTTCCTCAAACAATTATTAGTTAGGTTCTAAGGAAATATCTGAGAACAACTGAGTCCACAAACTCTGAATTGCAATGGCAAGTAGAAACACTGAAGGAACACCCAAGGTTTGAAGGCAGATTTATTTACATAGACGGGCACTGGTCGAGATCCTTCCCCAAATATAAGGCCATGATCTCTGTTGGTCTAGGGCTTCTATGAGATAAGCAAGCAGGAAGTACAGAGGCAGAATGGCTTGCCAATCGGGAATTGACTTATACAAGAGCCATCATAGTGACCAGCTTCCCATTACAGTGACCAGCCATTTCTAAGAGATAGGTGCAACCAGAACTGGAATAGGAGCTATTACCTGGGTGACTAAGAAACTGAAGCATACTGATTGGAGTTGGTGGGGGGTCTGCTTCAGAACCACGACTCCATGGGGTTATACTGTATAAATTATTGAAAGAAACCTGCAGAACATTATAAAGTAGGTGTAATACTTTTATGCTTATACATAAAATGTCTTCATGCACACAAAAGTGCTCAGATCATACCGACTTATCAGCAGCAGGTACCCCTAGGCATAAAATGGAAGGAGGGGAAATTTTTCATTGTTACTTGATGAACTTTCATATCATTTAACTTTTTCAGTAGTCATACATTATTTTAAAATTGTTTAAATGTAGATTTACCAAAAAAATCCAAAAAGATTAATATAAAGCTACAATACATGCCCAACAAGACGTTTAATTACTAATGAGGGGCTGGAGATTTAGCTCAGCGGCAAAGCGCTTGCCTGGCAAGCGCAAGGTCGTGAGTTCGGTTCCCGGTACCGGAGAAAAACCAAAAAAAAAAAAAAATTACTAATGTGTCCACTTCATTATCAAGCAGTTGGGATGCAGGGGTGAACATGGGCCCTGAGCAGGATGCCCTGTGGCTTTGCCTCGTTCAGTTTCCAGTCTATGTGGGATGCAGACAAAATGTTCAATTACTCATAGCATTTGAAGTGAGAATGGAATAAAATGGGCAAGAAAACATGGACGATGCTGGCCCAAACCAGCACTGGGGTGAGGCCAGACTCTACCTGTTCAGATCTGTAAAGCTGGGGGAGCCTCTCACCAATTCATCCTCCCCTCAGGAAACCCCTTCCAGTGGCCCTCCCCCCCCACCTCTGGTCCCTCTAATCACATTTAACTTGTTTCTAGTTCTCACAGTTCAGCCCTAAATTATTTTAGTCTTCTTTCTCCAGTAGAGGAGAACTTTAGGAGCAAGCAGGGTTCATGATGGGCTTCTGAGGTCAGTGAGAGGATCCACATCTCCTCCTCCATCCCAACCCCAGGTCCGCTTTTATTTCATGGTCTGAAAGTTGGAATGTTACTTTCCTTATCACAAAGCTTTAAGACACAGAGAAAAGCATCCTTAGGAAGCCCAGTCACACCGTGCTGTCAGACACCAATGCCTTACAAAGAATGGAGGATTTGGGAGCGAGTTGAAAGGCTGGTAGGAAGAGCAGAGTGGATGACAGATCCCGGAGGGAAAGTGTACAGGAACCTGGAGGGAAAAAGGGAGCTCAGTGCCTTGGAGAAAACTGTGCAGAGGCTGAGCCATGGGTAAGAATCATGTCTGAAGCCTAAACTCAGAGAACCAGGCCCAGGGCTGATGCTGCCCTACTGGTCTACAGAGGGAAGAGGGGAGACGTGGGCAGCAGCAGTCCTGAGGGCTCTTGGAAGGAGGATCTTTAAAATATAGATCCTAAGGGCTATTCCAAATACTTTCATTTGGTTAACATGGGTCCCAAATATTTGTACTGTGAAAGGTTTCCGGGAAATGTAGGTACAGTCAGACTTGAAACAGCTTCGTTAGTGCAAGGTGTTTGTGCTCATAGACTGAAATGGTGGGGCTCAGCCCAATGTCCCCGACAAGTACTGGCATGGCTGAGCCCTCCGGTGGGGGAGCTATATCAGCCACGTAGAGATCTGACAGAGCCTCTTGCCTCCTGACCCTGTGGGATGAAGTTTTGGGAGAGACAGAGCAGATTTCACAAGCAGAGAACATGAGGCCCGCTCCCAGCAGTGGCCCAGGAGAATCCTGGGCTGCTTGTGCTATTGCTGAGTCAGTCCCTGAACTTTGAAGTGGGCTTTGTACATGGTCAGAGCACCATGAAGAGTTGAGGAGAATTTCAATACAAATAAAACAGACTCCGAATCATCTAGTGAGAACCAAACTCCCAAGGTAGCCACTAGCAAAGCCAAGATTCCCTGACTGTACCCATGGAACTACATTTTGTCTTTGGAGATTTGGGAGGAAGTGGAATAAAAACAAGTATGTTTAAGAATACCCTCCAAAGAGTTCGTCCAGCAATTCACAGCTTTATTTAATTTCCAGAACATGGACTGCTTGAATTTTGGTTTGGTGGGATTTTTCTCTCCTTGTTGGGAAATAATTCCTCTAACCACTCAGGCGCCAAGTAGAAAAAAAAATTTTTAAATGCATTCACAGATGAGCCGCCGGCCTCTTCCTCGTGAAGAAGTAAATCAAATCCATGAGGACTGCAAAGACATGGGGCTCTTGTTGGGCAGAGGTGGCATTTTTTCTCAGGTAAGAGAAAAAAAGATGGGCGTCTAACCTAGCACTTTAAATTGGTGCCTTCCTGATGAGTTGGTGCGGGCGGCTTTGCTTCACTGATTGCGCTAGGGCAGTTCGCCCACTTCTAGGAAAGTGTTTGGGTACTTTTTTTTTTTTTAAAGGGCAGTGAAACCGTCTGGGCACTAGGGGGAGCTATGGTAAAATGATTTGAGTAGCTCAGCTCTGTAGGAGAAAGATAATACAGGTGTATATACAGTGTACCGCCAAACCAAACGATTTACGTACAGTACGTTTGACTAAATGGATCATAAAAGTTATGCAATAAAAAAATTTGTCTCATTTCTGAATGCAATCATTCCTGTTAAAGCACTGTTAAGCAATCTCAGCCATTCTTAACTGTGCCCTGACTCAGACTCTGTGAATCTGCTCAACGTAAGTCATTGTTGCGGTGCGGAGCAACCTCACAGTCCCGGAAGGCCCAGCCGACCCTCTCAGGAGAGGCGGTGGTCATCCTGGGTGTGGCCTCGAGATCGGCCACTCCTACCCTTCTCTGTCGAAGATTCAGACAGGAGCTGTCCCTGCTCCCCTCCGAGAAAAGCCAACTCGTGCTCCGCAGCCAGGACTTGAACTCCCCGCACCTGCGGGCAAAGGAGGGTCCTGCTCTGAGAAACGGGACTTGCCCCTAAATCTTTCAAGCCGTCTAGCACCTCCACGGGGACAGGCTCCAGGGCAAATGTTGAGGAGTGAGGGTAACTTCTGCACTTCTTCAAACCGTTCTTGTCCATTATCAACTTTCGTGCCCGTTTTTTAACATTTTTTTAAAAACGTTATACACAATAATTGTACATACTTATGGAGTAGTGCGTGACATACATAGATATCTATATCTATATAGTGTAATGTCCAAGTTAAGGCAAGCATATCTATCTCTTCAGCATTTCTTTGTGGTGAGAATATTCAAAATCTTTTACGTTTCTGAAATATGTACTGCAGTATTCTCTACATTCACCTACTGTGCAATACCACAGCAGAACTTCTGTCTAACTGCCATTTAATATTTTCACCAAGTTAAACACTCCTCCTTCCGTTTTCTTCTGTACTCCCTGCCTCTCATGATTTCTATGGATATGAAATATCCAGTTCTTGCCTCATACTTCTCAGAGAAAATTGAACCAATCAAGCAAGCTCTATAAATATTTAATATATAAAGTCTATAAATATTTTTGAACCAATCAAATCACATAATTATTAAAATCTCAGATATACAAGTCATACAGACAGGAAACAGTTGTTCACTTGCTTAGCTACTATGACTTGGCAAACACTAATTATAAGTGCTAAGCAGCAAATGGTACGCTAGGAATTGAAAGTACAATGATAAATAAAATCTGGTCCCTCCACAGAGTAGATGAAAGAGGAAAAATAATAAATGGGAAATTATAGTACAATGTAGTAAGTTCATTTATAAGTATAAAAAGAGGTGTTACAGGAGGAGAGAGAATGCATGGTGAGGCCATCCTTCCTGGTTAGCAGAACCTTAACCAGTGACACAGAGAGTTGAAGCACACATAGAAACACGGCGGGGTGCAAATGACTGCACACAGCGCAGGTTGGTGTGGCTGGGGGCAGTGAGTGGATCCAGTCAGAAGCCCTTTCCGCTTGTCAGGTACTGTGCTCAACACTTTGCATGTACATACTGACTCATTTAACGCCCTCAACAAGCCTAGGAAGTAAGTACTGCCATTGTCCTTATTTTATAAAATAGGCACAGAGAAGTCAAGTAAATTGGCCAATTTACATAGCTAGTACGTGGCAAATCAAGACTCAGACTCAGGCAGTCTGGTTTCTGAATCTGTCCTCTGAAAAGGATGAACCTAAGGGAACCAGCCTGAGGGCAGCGAGTCCGAGTGCGCGTGGGGAGAGGATGCTGTTTGAACTCGAGCAATTGTAGTGAGGACAGAGGAGCTGCTCCGAGGATAAGTTTGGCAGTAAAGTGCACAGGACTTGGGTATGAAGAGTGAGAGAGTCAAGGACAAATCCCTTATGTTTGACTTGGTTTAAGGTAAACACGAATGAGTTCATCCCTGAACATGCTCCATTTGAGGGGCGTGTGAACATCTGGTTCTGTATTCAAGTGTGCAGCTTGGGGAAAGGGCTAAGGTGAAGCTTGGTGGTTGGATCAGCACAAAGGTGGTCAGATGAAGGCTTCTCAGGGGAAGCCTGGAGACTCGCTGAGACGCACAGTGATGGCAGAAACCTACATAACAGTAACATTTAGTGGGAGAAAGAGAAGGTGCCCAGGGGAAGTGGAAAAGGATACTCAGGCGAGGGGAGCTAGAAGAATGTGGCATTCTGGAAGAGGGACAATGAGAGGTTCAGGAAGAAGGAAGGTCCAGTGCCGAGCATGGCAGAGAAGACCAGGAAGCTAAAGGGCTGAGAAATGCACACCTTGCAGGTCACTTAGGATAGTGGTGTCAGAATGGTGACAGAAAACTATACTACACCATAGTACTGTAAACTGTATGACTACGGAAACTGCGATGTCAAGCAGGGAAGGGTAGAGTGAAAAATATTAGCCAGTGAACATCTACCTGTCTTTTTAATGTTTGGATAAAAGCAAGATAGCAATTGCACGGCAGCTAGGAGGAGCCAGGGGTTTGCACAGCTTCTTGTTTGGTGTGGTTTGGATTTGGATCATGAGACTGTTAAACCTACTTGTGTGTAGGCTGAGGGGAAGCTGAAAAACAGTTAAGGTGCAAGAGAGCACAAGGCTGTTACCCAGAGTGACTGTGATGGGAGTATCTGGGGTTAAGGGCACAAGTGGGCAATTCGTAGTTGAGTAGGAAAGACAGCTCTGAGCCTTTGGGGAAGGGTATAAGAATGGAATGAACATTTTCATAGAAATATATTGTCGTATTTGATTCTCCCATGATCAGCTGCCCTGTTTTCCTCTGTCCCGCAGACCTTCCGCATTGTGCCCCCGATGTGTGTCACTAAACCCGAAGCTGACTTTGCAGTGGAAGTATTGCGTTCTGCCTTAAGCCAATACTTGGAGAGAAGAGCTAAGTAAATGTTTGGAAACAATAAATCACAAGTCTCAAGAATGTCCTACTTATGTGAAAGGATGAATTTGACGGATTTCAAAACCACTGATACTTGAGTGAAGCCTGCAGCTCTCCAGGGTAGTGGTTCAAGACACTATTGACTGCCTTTCCACCATGTTTTTAACAGAGCCCCTGTTCACATGAGAACCCCTTCTGGGAAAGGATCTTTATCTTTCGCTTGCAGAAGAAAACCCAATTAGTCTAGTGTAATTATGGCAATCTGATTTTTCTTTGCATTAATCACTGTACAAATGTATTTGTGGCATTTTTTTGGTGAATGACTCCTAAAGGAAAAATCTTTCAATGGAGGTCCCTTGAGGAAAAGGTTTCTTTACCTTCCACTCTGCAGGTCAGGAAGGTATCTTCTTGTTGCACTGAAAACATCATATGTCAAGATGGGATGCCTGGAACCACATTAGCTCTCTGGGGAACGTGAAGATTCAGCCTATTTGCTGAACTCAGAAGATGGATCAGCCGCAGTACTTAGTGATATCAGCGAACCTCTGACGACCAATTCTGGAACCACCCTGCCTCTAGGCTACTTGAGATACGGTAATAAATTCATATTATTGTATTTCCCTTTTCTGATTTAAGTTTTGCTTTATTGTGGGCAAAAACATCCTATGAAATGATGCGTGAAATACTTTAGGACAATAACAACTTCCCCACCTTGACTTTCATAAACATCTATCACAGCCTTCCTTTCTTCTCTCTCCCCATTGCTGTTACCTCACCCTGACCCAAATCCTCAGGCTCTTTCTCAAGTTCAGAACTTCCCATACTTTAGTTATTATAATAAAAAGTCAGAGATTTTCTCCCATATATGTGTACCACTTGTCTTAGAACTTACAACACTTTTCTTAACTTGATTTTTTACTTAGATGTATTTAAGAGTGTACTGTCTACAATAACAATAATTAGATATCAGTACCACTTTTTGTAAATAGAAGGCCACCATGAAAAAAAAAGAGTGAATACAAGCAACACAACCCATTTCTATTTGAAAGCTGTTCTTTGTCAAAAAAGGAGGTCAGAGAGTGAGGCATGTTAAAAATACTCTGGCAAACTGAGGCCTTCTCCTGAACACAAATAGAGAACAGAAAGAGAAATAACTTTCTTAGCATGTGATTGGATATTTATTTAAAGCTGTGTCCTGGTTTGAAGCCACATCCTAATGGTATGCCCTGCTGAAGTTTCTGTTCTACTAACACATCATAGCCAGGCTTATTTCTATCAGGCACTGGCTTAAACATTGTATTCCCTAGCACAAAACTTGCCAGTAGCTCCCCACTGTCTCTTGGATATGGTCAAAACCCCTTTAACAAGAAGTTCAATATCCAAATACAGTAAACATTCAGATATGTTCCATCTACAAAAAGGCCACTGGACTCAGCCAAATAGTTTAAATTCTACTCAGTTCTACTTAATTTGCTACAAGTGGCCATGAGCTAGACTTTTCATTCCTCCTTAAGCTCAAGTTTGTTCCATTATTTGTCCTTCCTACCTCCTAGAGTTGTCCTGGGAATCAAATGAGTCAGTGGATGTAAAAGTTCTTTGCAAATTGGTAAATCATACAAAAAAGAAATGCTTTCCCTTCTGGCTACAATTCTCCTCCCTTCACTACAGAACGTTTCCCAAGAGCAGTTTTCGTGCTCCATTTATACTTCATCTCCCATCCAAACCACTGTCACTAGGATCTTATTCTTGCCTCAGTCCTTGGAAATTTTGCTTTCTCGAAAGGCCACTGATGATTTCTTCATGATAAAAAAAATGTCCTCTTTGAAATTCTTTGCCATGTGACCGTTTCTTCTTGAATAATATCCTCCTTGGCTTCTGCAATATGATCCTTCTATCTCCGGTGGCTCTTTCTCAGCATCTTTCCTGGCACCTCCTCAAATTCCAGGTTCTGTCCTGAGCTGTCTTTCCTTTCATGTTACCCTCTCTCCCACTCAGCAACCCTGCCCCCTTCTGCAGTTTCACCTACCTGAACTCCGCTGATGGTTTCTCGATACTTATCTTTAATTCCAACCCTTTTCTCAGCTCCAAGCCCAAAATTATAATTCTCTGGAAGCTTCCATTTGGATGCCCAAGGACATTTTGAATTCAACAGACTTAACACAAAACTTACTATGTTTCTTTCCTCATAGAACTCCTCTTTTATTTATGGGATGTTTTTTATCTCAAGCTCATCATTCTCGGTCATTTTTTTCTTCATCATTATTATTTTGCCTGTCATTTGACCAAGTTTCAGAAATACTTTCTCCAGCATCACTTTTCCACTGTGGCACATTTATACCTACACTACCTTAATTTAAGCTGCCATCTCTACTATTTAATCTGCCTCCTGATATCCTTTTAAATCCATCTTCTCGTTTCAAAGTCACTCACATAAGACATAAATATGATCATGTCTCTTGTCTCCTGGAGTTCTGGGTTCCCCACTGCCCATAAAACAAAGTCCAAACTCCAACTACTGTGGTATTCCAGAGCTTTCACTCTTCGTCCCCAAACCATCTTATTGACACCAAGATATCCCTTGGGAGTGAGAAACTAACAAGGTACCCTTGTTAGGTCTATACAAGATTCGGTAGTTCTCAGAAATCCACAAGGAATATGCCGTATTAATTTATTTGACAATTAAGTCCTTGGATACTAAATCTTTATTTCCACTATCTTTTCATATCATTCACCTTGATTTTTTATTTCTATAATTTACTGGAGTGTTCTTCCTCTCTTCTTCCTCAGTGGAAATTATAGGGTCAACAGGGTTGTAATCATTGATACATCGTATCAACTGGAGCATCTAGAAGCTTAAGTAAGTAACTCAGCAAGGGGCCAAGGTCCTCCTTTGTAAATATCCTGAGCCTGTGCAAAAGGAGCACAGGGAGACAGTGTGAGTGCTGCACCCACTTGAGGGCAGGTAGCCTGCGCACAACATAAGGGAGGAAAAGAGGCTTGTTCTCCCCCTTCTGCTCTTGTTGCTTTTGCTGGCTTCTCCCACCTTGAAGTATTGCCCCTGTGCCATGTCACCTTGCCTTGGAGCCGGCTGATTATGGACTGAAACCTCCATAAATTGTGAGCTGAGTAAACCTTTCCTTCCTTAATTTTGGACGCCAAGTATTTTGTCTCAGCAATGACAAAAGTAACGAACACAAGGGTTGAACAAGAAAACCAACACAACTTAGTGATTCTTCAAAGCCCTCCCACTTCCAACATTCTTTTTCTTCTTGATAAAAAAAAGGAAGAACATGAAAAATAAAGTCGATGATAGTCCATTAGGAATTTCATAATATATGAAGAAGAAACAATAAAAATGCAAATTTAAAGCCACCAGTAAAACACACACACACACACACACACACACAGTACTTTTGCATGCTCAGGCCAAGTACAGGGTGTAGTAAAGGGCACCCTCCCCTAGAAAAAGGAGAGAAAGGCATTTAGTTGTCAGATAAATTCACACAGCATATTCCTTGTGGTTTTCTGAGAACTACAGAATCTTGTATATACCTAAGAAGTATATACAGTCTCTCATTTCCAAGGGATATGTCAAAGTTTTCTTAGCCTATTTTCTGTCACTCTGACAGAACTCCTGAGACTGGATAATTTATATAGAATGGAGGTTGATTTGAGTTTTTAATTCTGGAGGCTGGAAAGTGCAAAATCAGGCATCTGGCTCAACTCCCGGTGGAAACCCAAGGGTACGTGGACGCATCCAGAAGAGAAAGCATTTGGTGTACCACAGTCTACTCTCTCAGTAACTAACTCAGCACAACATGCGGGAGGACTCACTCACAAGTGAGAAGCATTAATCCATTCATGAGGGCTCCGCCCTCGTTACACTAACACCTCCCATAGCCCCCACCTCCCAACACTGCCACACTGGGGTCCCAGCTTCAACGTGAATTTGGTGGAGACAAAACCTATTCAAACCATCACACAAAGTTAGCAGCAAAATTTCCAAAGGTAGCCATGAACTAGGTCTCATTTCTGGACTTTGAATTGTGTGTGACTCTACCCAAGCTCCTGCTGATCAGAGTAAGCCCCATCTCTTTCCTAATGGGCAGTGGAGGGGCTGAAGATGAGCAAGCCTCAGAAGCACAGGAGCTGGGAGGGCACAGCTCGGGGCTTAGAGCATGGGTGGTGGCTCATTCCTCCGGTGGTTTGTAAACATGCAGGATTCTTCTTCCTTTCCATGTGGCATCGTGGGAAGGAGTTTAGCATCACCATTTTTCTCCCTTCCATTTTCTGCACTACCCGCAGGAGGTGGGAGATCAGCCAGCTTACATAAGGCAAGGAGCCCACATTCTTGCCAACCTCTTTTTTATTTCCTTTCTTGTTAAAATGGCCTAAAATGAAGATAATGAACACTTAGCTCAAGTAAACTTTTTCCACACAGGCAGCATATTGACAGTTAATCATGTGATTCAAATATAGCATTAAAATGTTGGCAGGTCTTGTGGTTTGTGGGTTTTTTGCAAGGGGAACAATATAATATAGGACACATATTTTATAAGATTTATGAAAAAAAAAGATAATTTATAATAGTTACCCAAAGGATCATATACAAGGGAGTGCAGGAAATCTGTCCACACACTAAAGACCCAAGAATCTAGCTGAAGGCCTGGATCCCATGATAATGTCCTACATGAGCCCAGCTGAAGACCTAGAGCTCATAACAATGCCTCCTATGAGTCCAACAGGAGTCCTAGAGCTCATAACAATATTTCATGCAGGCCTGTTTCATGGATCTGTGCTCCAAAGGCCCAAAGGTCAGTGGTGGAATCCAGAAAGTCTGTGCCAGCAGGATGAAGGACCTGTGGTAGCAGACAGGGATCTACACTGGAGCCAGGAAGTAATGCTCAAAAATAAGAACCAAAGCTCCCCTGAAAAGTACCACAGCCATCCTCAGTGACAGTGAGGACCCAGGCTCCTCCAATACTGAAAACAGCTGAGTTCCCATCAGGAAAGCTAATGCAGCAAGCTTCTCCAGGAGACTGGCAGTGCACTATCTTCCACTTTGGAGCCAGGAAGCAATGCTCAGAGTGAGGACCAGAGCTCCCCTAAAGTGAACTGAAGCTATTCTCAGTGCCAACAAGGTCCTGAGCTCCTCGGAGGATGAAAACAGCCAAGTTCATCAGAAAAGCCAGCATGACAAGCTCCTCCAAAAGAACCAAGAGCTCCTTACAGCTTCTACCAGCTCCCAACAGCCTCTCTCAGCTCCCAGCAGCCTTCCCTCTTCTTCGCCAGTCTGCTTCTTATGCTGCTGGTAACAACCCCCAGGTGGGCCTCCCACACCCAGCACCATGCTTACTCAGTTCAGCTGAGTGTTATAAGCTGACCACCAGTTGTCAATCTACCGCAGCAACTGTTTAAAAACACTTGACATGCTAATCCACTCAGGAATAAGGAATTTTTAAAAAAATCACATCCAGCTTTGGTTATAGCACTAAACAAAATAACTATTGGAAGTTAACACCTGTAAGTAGCTAATATAATATTAAATGCTCTCCTATCTGTATCGTCAAGACTCCGCCTTGTATGTCAATGTAGCTTTAACTTTGCAGTAATCTTTGTTCCACAGATATTGATTCCAAACCTTCTGCAAATACAAAAATTTAAGGATGTTCAAGTCCTTTATATTTAATGACATATTTATATACAGTGTACAAACATCCTCCTGTATACTTTAAATCACCTCTAGATTACTTACAGTATATAATACATTGTAAATGTTAGCATCAATACAGGAATAACAAGTAAAAAAGCTTGAATATATTCAGGACAAGTTTGATTCACAGTTGGTTGAATCCATCAATG